CGCTTTGCTGGGGCATGCTGGTAGCCTCGCTGGGATTTGTAAGCAAATGTTTTAAAGAAGAGGAGATCGTACATAAAAATTGTAAACTTATTGGCTGCGTAAAAAAATTAGAGCGTTTTTTTTTGAAAACTTAAACAATTGGAATTACTTTATAAGTCCGGAAATTCTTCAGCTATTCTAAATTACTAATAATTGGAAAACCTACACAAATTGTTTTTCAACCTAACCTGATTTTTAAAATAACGCGCTAGAAAATCCCAGTGTAGCTTAAAAGAGAGTTCAGTTCTTACTGTGGAGAAATATACATACCTCTAATCAATACCATTAAACATTTTGTCGAATCTAGTAAGATTATTGCCTGCAAGGTTGTAGTTATAAGTGTATGTATGTGAAATGGTGCTTGCGCAATTTGGTATTATTATTTAGTATATCTCATTAATTAGTTCGGAGACATATGGAAATTATTGGCTTAGTGTGTGTCATCTGATTGTAGGTAATATTAAAAATTATAAAATAGTTGTCTTCGTGTCTAGATTTTGAGTTATTTAGTAATTAGTAATTTTCCCTTGTAAATTTCTGAAAATCAGGAAAAAATTATCATCGGAAACATAACTTGAAATGGGCATATTTGATAGATAATAATGTCGTAGTTAATATAAAAATATAAAAACTTTGTATTCGCGACCAGTTTTTGAAATATGAAGTAATTTAGATAATTAAGATAGCATAGGGAAGTATAGTAGCAAGTAGCCCCAAACTGTGAGGAGGCAGTTACGAGAGGTAGTGCGTTGGGCAAGAAAGACAGGAGACGGCATGGTCGATCTCCATTCTTATCACAGCATTGTGAGAGTGAGGACACGGAGGAATTGGGCTCCAGTATTTTGTGATTAATTAGTTGAGATAGTTTCTGGGTAATTAATTTATGTGAGTTGAATTGATAAGTGGGTTAGTTTTTGTTAATAAATCAGTGTTAAAGAGAAAATCCTGTTCTTGTATAAGCGGGTTTATTTTGGGAAATCAACAGTGAAGTAACAATAAGTAGTTATCATCCCTTCATCATCTCGAACTGTAACACGCCACAGTCAACATACGGCGACTTCTTGCAGACGGGTAGTTTGCATGGATAGTTTCCAGTGGGTGAGGTTCAGCGATCCCACACATTTGCAAAAAATTAAATTTTCATACATATTTTGCAATGTTATTTTTATTGTTTTCATCTAGACTTTGCAGTGCCACATGAACCCAGCGGTGACAATTGCGCTGGACAACTTAATTTGGTGAAAGGGGCACTCTACATTCTGGCGCAGTGTGCTGGTGCAACTCTGGGAGCTCAGATTCTGGTCGGTTTTACCCCCAAAAGATTTACTTGGTCGTTGGGAACAACTCAGTTGGCGAAAGGCGTATCACCATTGCAATGTCAGCCATATGTATACATTAGAAACGCAATGTGTGGTTTAAATAAACTTTGTTGCGCACTCTTAAAACTAATGGTGGCATTTGGAATGAAATTCTATATTAAGTAAACCAAACTGAATCCAGGGTCACGTTTACCCGATATAACTTACGCAGTATTTAGTTTAGTTTACTTAATACTTATTTTTCAAAATTATACCATCATTTTTAAGAGTGTATCTAAATTGATGCATGTCTTAAGGCCTTCGAATGGAATTCGTCGCAACTTTCCTTCTTCTGTTGGTAATTTCTCGTGCAAACGATAGAACACGTGAGCCAGGAGGATTAACAGATCTAGCGGTTGGATTGTGCGTTTCAGCGCAAATATTCTGTTTTGTAAGAGAATAAAAATGCAATGGGTACACTCTTAAAAATAATGTTTGTTTATTTACAAGCCCTAAATTTTACTGCAAGAAAAGGATGATAAATTCAGGGTAACCTTACCTTGGCTTTACGAAATTTAACGTGTATTTTGGATTTGGTCGAATTTACTTAATATACGATTTAGAGCTTATTTACTTTTCAAAAGGGGAACATTATTTTCAAGAGTGTACATAAATAATTTGGACCTATTTAAATTGATGTGAACTCCTGTATTTCGTAGGGTCCTTTCACTGGAGCGAGTATGAACCCTGCCAGATCTTTTGGGCCATCTTTCATCTCCGGGTATTGGAAGAATCACTGGATTTACTGGGTTGGCCCGATTTCCGGCGCTTTCGCGGGAACCATCTCATACCACCTTCTGTATCACTCCTCTCCAAAATCCGACCTTCGGAAGGAAGGAGTAATTACTAAAAATATCAGCAATGGCCACATTCCTCCCGTGGAAGAGTACTCTATAGAGAGTATAGGAGAGAGAGTATAGGAGTACTCTCTATAGAGAGTATAGGAGAGTATTGCATGGCACATATGTACGCGTGACATATTTTGAAGCACTTATACAGCAATTATAGAATGTGATTTGGGACCGAATTACGAATTAAAAAACAAGTCGGATTATTAAAATTTATTTGAATTACATATAATATTTTTGGTTCACAGTGCGGTATCAAATTGATACGACCACACTAAATAAATTTGATCAAAATTCACCCAACCTTGAGAACATTAAGATCTCACTCGAGGGTTGAGTAATCCAATTCAGCAATAGTTGAGTAAAAATCAACCAATTAAATAGTATAACGAAAATATGGGCTGATAGGATTTTATACATTAGTTGAGTAATATTTGGTGAACCATTCAGTAAATTATGCTGAACTATTGAGTGACTTTTCCACAACTGTAAGTTAATTTATGCACAATTAAAGGTGAAATGTAATAATTAATTTACAATCTGGGCTGATCGCAATGAACAATAGTTTTATTCAAGAGGACAATAAATATTCCATTATTATGTATAAAAAATTGTATCTTATTATATGTACCTGTCCGATTATTTCCAATTTGTAGGGGACTAAAAGAGTGGAAATAGTTGCGTCTCGGCCAGATATTTTTCCCGAACTTATGTAGACAAGCTATAAATTAACAAAAATTATCACAAATCATTATCTAAACTAACAAATTGTTTGTGGAATTATATAATTAATTATTACTTGTATTATGACTGTGTATTCCTCAAAACGTGGCTTAGAGTACGATGGGCGAATTTATCTAAAATTAATCAATAATCTTTTTCGTTAACAATTTCACAAAAAAATTAAACATGATCGGTTACAAATGAATCGCAAACCACTAAATACTTACTTAATAATGTTGTCCTCCTTATTGGGATTCTTGCCTTCAATTAGAAATAAAAATTAAATTAAGAGATATTTTGATTATTAATGGTGAGACATGGGCTTACGTTTTAAGAAACGATTTTATGTAAATGATAATTCTTACCTAAGTCCTTCTAGGTGGGTCATTTTTAGAATCCATGGGGAAATATTTTAGAAATCGATGGGGGAAATTTTTCAGAAAATATATTGCAAAGAGGTGGCGAAGAGAACTGGATGGGAAGTTTGACTTTGCCGGGCAGCCTCGCCTCAGACTACTCGACTAATACTTAATTTTTATACAACAGTTGAGTAAAATTTTGTCAACTATTGTACAAAATTCATTCCCTAACGAAGTAAGGTTTCTATGTTGATCTACAATCTCTACGATCTGTAGTTACAAATTTACAACGTTAAGTAAATACATATTTACACAACCCCATTGGTTAGTTTTTAATTTTCGGTTGGATTATGTTTCACCAACGTTGTGGAAAAATTCACCAATTTCACTTTACTCAACTAGTTGTGTACAACTTTATTTAGCGTGACCAAAAGTTTGTAAATATGTAGGACTTAAGCTCGATAAACTTAGTAATAAAGTACACAATACATAATCCATTAAGATTGTTAAGCATAGCATTTATACACGTTCACTTGCAAACTATAAAATAAATTATTTAAATGAAAAAATGCTCTTCGGTGAGGCAGTAGGAGTGACGATTGCAAGAAAGGAAAACAAGGAATTCTCTATTCTTTAATTTGAAAAAGATCCGATATCATTGCGATATTTTTAGACTTATGAATTGTAGTATTCGCACTATTAAAAAGTTGCCTCGCTATGGCCCATGGGCCAAAAATCTTTAACAAAATTATTTAATAAACGAAATTACTTACTTTTAACCTTACAATTTAAGTACAAGTGAATCAGATATCGCCGATCCTGAGTAGTTAATTACCTAATACATAGATCCCTAACTATGAAAACCTGTAAGTTATCTCAAACAAAAATTGTTTTGGCTTCACAAAAACTTCATTTTTCGTCCACACCTGTAGTTTTCGTAAGGATCCCGCAAATTATGTGAAGATTTTCTAGTTCGGCTAGTTGTTATTTTGCAGTAAACACGAAACAGATAATTAGTGTTACTTACTAGCAGCGTTCACCTCACAATAAAATAATAACGCACAATATTTGATCTAAATTAGCGACAAATCCGAGCGATAAGCTCAAATTAGATAATTATTATTATTTTACAAAAGATTTTAGGCCCACGGCGAGGCAACTTTTTAATAGTGCGAATACTATAATTCATAAATATCCTTAAATATCGCAATGACATCCGATCTTTTTCAAATTAAAGAATAGAGAATGTCTTGTTTTCTTTTTTTGCAATCGCCACTCCTACTGCCACTCGGAAGGGTGTTTTTTCATATAAATAATTTATATTTGTCAACCCTCAGCTAATACCGAATTGCAATTTTTGTATTAAGTTGATTTTGCTAATTCTAATTAACTCGTTAATTCTGGAAGAGCTGCTACCTCACTCAGCATTTTGTTAGTAAACTTAACGTATGCATGCAATCTGAAAAGTTTTAATGTGTTTAATAAGAATAACAGTCATCATAATATGGGACCAATATTATTGGTATTCGATTAATGTCATTCGAATGATGTCAATCTAATAAATATTTCATGACTGCTGAGATGAAGCTTGCAACATTTGCAAAATTTGTCTTTAATTATAAACTCTACGTTTATATAAAAGCTTATTCGCAGTTGTATCACTACAGTTGCCTTCAAGACATCTTTTTTAGTAATAACACTTTGCAGATATGCAGGTTAATATTTTTCTCACGTTATTGTTCATCGTAGTTGCAGGTAATGCTCAAAATTATACATCTGTACATACTTATACCTAGATAATGTATTCGTACATAGATTATCTAGACTGTATATACACAACAATTACTATGATTAATAATATATAATTATTTATAAATTTGACAGAAGATGTATACTTTAGAGATGTGGACGGGAAGGAGTATGATGGGTGGGGACGCGCCATTCCCCCAGGTTTAACAGGTACGTGCATGGCTACAATAATAACTGAATTTTGTAAAAAAAATTGTCCATGTTCTGATAAAAAATTTCCCAGCTTCAAAGCTGGAAGGTGACAAAACAGTATGGGTACACCAATTAATGGGAATAATTGAAAACACTTGCATGACAGAAAGAAAAAGAACCAAAGATGAACTGGGCGGTATTTTTATTTAATTTTTTTTTGAATTTTTATTACTTACTTACAGAAACTTTATTGATTGACCGTTTAATTATTCAGTTTTCGATGAGACTATTTACACTACAAAAATCACAGAACAAAAAAAGTTTTATACGCGCAAGGGGTTTCCTAATATTGGAAACACCCTTTTTGACTGGTGTGTAAAAGGCGTCCTATCGGGGGTTGATGCAGCCGTACAGGATTTACAGAAGATTCCACAGAAGTAACGTCATTAGAAATGAAGCTATTATAATAATTGCAAGAATTGGTAAAAATGATAATAAAATATGTTTTTTCTGGCTATAATTGTAAGAATTTTTCTGCTAAACATTCCCACTGCGTGATCCCATCGACGTTATCATGTATTGAAGCAAAGATAGATTTGGTTGATGATCTATTTGAGGCATATGTGTAGTAGTATGCATATAAGAATGTTATCTATATCTTGTGAAATATTAGTCATATGTACATTAGATAAGTCTGCGATAGTGGTTTGTAATGCTGGTTTTGAATCTGTAGGTATTGCATATGTAGTAAAACTAAACCGTGATGGCTAAGCCGAATTAATTTAACCCATACTGATTTACTGCATATGTACATAATTTATACAAGAAAGTTATTTGAAATTTATCATTTACAAAATAAATTACCTAGCCCATAATGATAAACGAGTTTCTATCGTTTTTTTTTTACTTTTACTCTTCTTCCCGTGTTGAGAATAAACTTGGGAAAATCACTCCGGCTTGAAACTAATTGTTAGCTGGTAAGTTTAAATTAATTACGTTTATATAATCGTGATAAAGTCATTTAATCTGATAAATAAAATAAAAAATTGTTGCAGATTCGACAAGCTGCTCAAATTATGAACCATTATTTAACTACTATTTTTTGCAAAATTACGATAAATCATCAACCGAGCCAGTGTCGTTAATTATTCAGGATGAGTGACAAATTATATTATTTTGCCTATAGACTTTACCTATCAAGATTTTCTAAAGTCATCGATTATTTTTATTTGCAGCAAAGATAAGCCGGAGATATCCAGTGATATATTTAAGTGGACGTAATCATCCAGAATGCTGCCAACTTGAAACCGTAAGAAATTTTATTGATAATATATGTCGCACAAAATAATTAATAGTGCAATGGATTTTAAAAATTATAATTAATTATTTATTAAATGAAAACGCAGAGTCGATACGGCGTTTATAAAACCACCCCCACCCAATTCCACCAACCCGAATGGTTCTCCAAACTCCTGCTCTTTCCCCATCGACAAGTCCATGTTACCCCCCACGGAAAATTCCCCCTTCGTCAACAACATCCCTTCCACAAACTTAATTAAGGTGTGAACAAGTTGTAATATTTAAATGCTTAATCAGATTAATTATATGCATATATATTTAATTTAATACTTTTAGTGAAATCTGTGTGTAATTTTTATTTATAATTGTCTATTGATATAATTATATATAATGTTATACAATTTGAAATAAATTTTTAGTATACAATAAAACGTGCAAATGGTGGTGCTAATTTGTATAACATTTGGTAGAAAATAGTGTGCACAGTTATAGAGTTTACTACCAAGAATATGGTAGATTTCCACCGTGTGTACGTCATCTCTCCTACATAATGGTATGGATTTAATTCAAAAAGTGCTGATTACCACCACACCAGGTATAATGTAAATCCACACCGGCCAGTGGTTATTCCTACCAACTCTGCAGACTCTGCAGAGACTCTGCAGTGCAGAGTCATAAACAGAGCTGTGCAGTTTGGCAAAGATTTGGTAAAGAATTTGTTTGCAGAGTATAATTCATAATTACGATTCCCTGATTTGATATCAATTGTATGCAATTATAAGGTTGTAATTGTTTTCATATGTATCAGTGATATGAATTATTATTATTTGCTTATTGATCAACTAGGCTATAGCCCGTGTAAAACACGGGCTCTGTTGTATTTTTTGGATGGATGAATTTTTTGTATCGACAATTTGTAGCTTCTGTTCTGTGGATTATGTGAACTGTCCTCTGCTTAGGAGGGCTTTCTCGTGTCTCGCGTTGACATATTAGGGCTTCTGGTGTTTCTTTCGATTTTCCGGACTTTCCGCCATTTCTGTGGACTTTCTGAATTTTCCGGAAAGTTCAGAAAGTTCGGAAAGTTCGGAAAGTCCAGAAAACCCGGAAAGTTCGGGAATCACTAAAATAACCCACCGATTAGTCCAAATTCAAAGCACTGCGAAAATTCGTAAAAAAGTGTCTATTAAGAAAATTTCTACCATATACCTCAGTTATATGGTAGAAATATACCTATAAATATAACATATGTATACCTCATGTACATGAGCTACAACACCCCGGAGGTAGTGTACTGACATTGTCACAAAAAAAGGCCCTGTTAAGGGCCACCACATTTTCGTGAGAGCATGTTATTTTTTCATACACATATTTCCGAGACGATTTTTTCCGTAGCTTTTTTTCGGCTACCTCAAATATTAGGGCACAGGAAAGAGGTGCATTTATTCAGAAGGTTCAAAATAGTGGCATCACCTTCACCACTTCTTGGAAACTTGGGGAAAGGAATTATTAATACATCGCCACTAAGGGACGATCTTGTATGTTAAAAGTGGTGAACTTTATTCAGCCCAGCCTCACTCCTTTAGCAAACTGCTTCTCTCACAGTTAATAAAGCAATAAATTGGAGTTAAAAAAATCTCTGGGATAAAACAAAAATGCTGGACAAGGTTTTACAGCTAACCGGTATACTAGCCATCCTGATAACACCGCCCGCATTCTCGTACACCTTGGGAGGATGGCTGCAGGAAGAGAGGGAATTCAAAATTTGGATGTTCAGTAAGTATGGAATTTTACTCATAGATAAGGCCCTTACCTATGTCCCCTTATCATACGGGGCCATCCGTAGATTACGCAAGACCAGAGGGGGGAGGGTATCGTGAGGTGCGTTATTCTCTAATTGACACAAGATGTTAAGAATGTGCCTAACTACGTTAGAAGGGTGTATGGATGGCAGGGGATCGATAGTAAATATCAATTTTTCGTTACATTTGCGAGCGGCCTTTCAATAAATCATTTTTGAATAATATGGTGTCAAATGGTTAATTGATTTTCTTCAGTTTGTGCCTAACTACCGCATTATGTAAGAATGATTTGTTTCCAAGTGATTTGCATTTGTTTCCACGAAATTCAAATTTCCTGTTGTCCTTTCAAAATTTTGACTTCATGGCTATGGAAGCTGTACATGGTTCCCCACTAGGTTAATGTTTAAGACTTATGATTAGACAAGTTCTTGTGAAGTGGAACAATTTATTGTCTCCTTGTTTTGAATTGTTTGCTGCATAATTGTTGTTACAAATAATTGCTTTTCAGATGAGACCGTACGTGAAACCAGCTTCATCGCGGATATCCATGACATAGAATACTTTCCATATGACGATTGGAGGTTGGTGGGGCAGAGAGAGATTAATGTGTCCAGATTTTCCTCTGCATCCGTTGCAATCGTCTTTAAAAGTAAAGAACCCCTACCGGCGACTGCAGTTATTTTAAATGAAACCACAATCCTTGCACCTGGAGTGGAATATGATGGGTACGCAAATTTATTGATATGTTACTCAAATTAATCTAGGAAGGCTATTACCACCCATAAATACAACACGTATGACACTCTGTCACGTGGTACCAGTTGTAGAAATGATTTGTCACTAGTGGCCGGTGAGATGAAACAATCTCGTCTCATCATGAGATTAGATGAGATGAGATGCGACGGCGATAAATGAGATAACATGTGGGACAGATAAATAATGTGAGATGAGATGAGACGGGATTATGGTGAGACGGGATGAGTTGTAGCGAGATAGAAGGAATGTATCTCATGTCATCTTGTCTCATCATAAGTGAGATGACATATGAGATACAATTTTCATCATCTCATTTAAGTTTTAACCAAATTGCCCATATTTTTGATACCGGTGCGGGGTTGTTTTGGACTGGGCGGGATTTCTTATCTCTAAAATTATGCCCAATCGGTGAAAAAATTGTTTGCTCGTGGTGAAGTGGAAAACAGTGTCTAACAAAATGATAATTGTGTTTCCAAATCTTTGGAGAGTACTCAACTGGCACACAAAATCAAGGATTTCGTCATATGTAAATATTTATATACATTGTTGGTTTTCAGAGAAAGCAGAATTTGGTTTCTTGGGTACCTTTGGGAATTCGTCCCAAGAAAACCCATCCACCCGAGCCGATTAACTGTGAAGTTCAACTATACATTTTTGGATGTAAGTATTCACCTAAATTTGATATGAAGGCATTAATAGCGTTATGGTAGAAATGTTATTAATAGACACTGTTTAAAGGATTTTCGAAGTGCTATAAATTTGCACCGATCGAACAGTTTTTGAGTGATATCAAAAATTTAAATTCATAATTTTTTCAATTGCCCAATGTTTTCAAAACATTTCCAATTTTTGAAATCATTCAAACACTCATCGATCAGTGCAAATTCACAGCACTTCGAAAATCCTTAAAAAAGTGTCTTTTAATAAAATTTATACCACAATATTCTTCGCAGTCTGGCTGAGTTGTTTCCCTCGCTTAGTTCCTGCATCGAGGACAATATTGTCTGCGATGCTTTTATGTTGTGTGTAATGTATTACATACAACCATAGGGTAAAAAATATCGGATTAACCAATAAGATATTTGTAATATCTTCAGATAAAGGCCAACATTCCAGCCCCATCGGTACCCCTCCACAACACTAACACAAGCGTGGCCATGACTCAAACCACGCCCCCGTTTGGAACAAAATGTCAAATTTTCGGTTTCCTCCAAGGCCCAGATTTTGATTTGCATCGAATTGGAGCAACCGTTCTAAAGGGGAGCAGATGTCAAGATATTTTCCAAAATATCGGTACAAAACTGTCCCCCTGTTTTTGCACCGAGTTAGAAGCACTGGACCCAATGGGAGGTGGAGAGGTGGGAATAAACCAACCATATTTTGATGCCAGAGTTAGAGACCGTAGAACCTGGAATAATATTAGGAGGGGTGATTTAGTTAAAATTGATCAAAGATATCCAATCTTTTGCGAGAATTGGGTCAATTCCACGAGTGAGGTGTATGTGTTTGCTGGGTTCAGTATTCACCACATAGTGCAGGGTTCGGTTAGATTTTTCATGTTTGAAAATATTCTTTAAGTTTCAATACACTCTAAAAAATTCTATTACAACGCTGACCCACCTATGACTCTAACAACGTGGTGATAGACCTGTTACCTCGAGGTATCACTGTATTACCCGGTGGTAACAAATTATTAGCGTTTAGTAAATATGACATTTGTTATTTTTACATTTTTATATGGGTAACAAATTTTTCTATAGCCTTCTTTTTCAATAGCCGTAACGATGCTGAACAAAGTTCAGCATCGTTACGTTTTTAAGTCATTTAGAACGTTTGAGTATAGATGGGGCATGACCCCAAGTATTTGAGATGAATACATTTATATGAGGTTTCAGACATGACGATACTTTGTCACGCCTAATACAATGAGTAGATAAGTATTTATGTAGCACAGTTTCATAAATCAAGTCATTGCATCGAACTGCTTTCTGTTTTTTCCCTTTCCAATCTATTGTCATACTGAATTGTCACGTTGCATATATATTGTAATTTTACTAGACATAAATTGCTGGTTTTTTGTCACAATTATGATTATATGTGTGCGATTAAAATTATGACAGATTTGACCCACCATTTTCAGAGAAATGGTGGCTTGTGTGTACAGTTTTATTAATACCCTATAGGGTATTAATACTCTAAGGTATTAGGTATCATCTAGGTATTAATACTGTACAAATTTCACTCAAAGTTGTATAAATTGCCATTTACACAACTCAGTTGGCTAAAATTTTCCCAAGTATGTATAAAGTTTATACAACCTTGAGTAAAATTTATACAACGTTGGCTAATTTTTACACAACTGGTTGTATCCATCACTATTTTCCTCAATATTTTTTGCTGTGTAATATATGTATACATACCTAGAATTACAAAGTATGTATAAATTGTAAATGAAATTTATCATTCACAACCTGTCACATAATGGCGCTAAACACTTTATAGTCATGTGGACTTTGGCATAACTGTAATAAATAAAACGTGTCAAGTGTTATCAACTGACATTATATTCGTGTACTTAATTAATAATTTTTGATTATTTCGACGAAGCTCGGATTACGGTTGAACCGTAGATAAAATTAAAAACATTTAGCAAACTTGTCAGAGGTGAACGAATCCTGGGGAAAGTTTGAATTTAAATACATGATAAAATGTATGGATTGCCAAACTATACAAAAATATAGGAAGTCGCTCCACCTATGTATGTATTAATTTTCACGGAAGTAAAGCTTCCAGAATTTTCACGTTTATATAATTATTCGGTACTAAAATCAACTGGCACAAACGGAGTATGTAATAAGGAAGTTGTGATTGGCAGTTTGGCGTGTCTGACTCTCCAAATGCATACCTACGCATAGATGCCATTATGTATTCTTTCCATTATTCAGCCGAAAGGAGAATGAGTTGCATTAATGAGACCAAAGGTTAAACGGGTTCCAATAATTAATATTTCTGTAAAGAGAACAGTCAGAGGTTAAGCTGTATGTGTGAATGGCATGCTTGTAAAAAATGAAACATGAGACTTTCTATTTTTGGTTTGAGAGAGAGAAATGAAATTCATTTGGACAATTTGAGATATTGGTGATGGGAAATAGGTTTTTAGATACAAATTGTGATAGTCGTATTATTGAGGGGTTGCCAATCAACTTTGGCAGAATTAAAAAACACACTGATTACTATTGTAGCGAATTCGTAGGATTGGATTTGGAATGAAATTGGAAATTTGATAAATTTGCAAATCTAAAAGTTTAGGAAGTTTGAGGTCGTTTATGGGTGTTTATATTGGCGTTAAATGTCTGAACAAAATCAATCTTTATGTTATAGCTGGGGAAAGCTGGATGGAACTGGCGTTGTGTTTGCATGACCACCCAAACAGGTAATTTGTGTGCACACACCCGGAAATATCTTGGTCTCCTGAGAATTATTTAAATGTTCCGTAGTAATAATATCAATTAATTGGCTTTAAGTTTTAAACCTCATGGCATTAATGTAGTACAAGATCATCACCGGCACGTAATAGTCACATATCAATGCCGTGGTTTATTGATTTTTTTTAAGAGTGTACGTGTGCGAAATTTCTAACAAACAGCATACTCATTAAGTAGCTTCAGCTACTTTATGTGAAGACTTTGTCTGTCTGTCTGTCTGTCTGTCTGTCTGTCTGTCTGTCTGTCCGTCTGTCTGTCCGTCTGTCTGTCAGCAGGATATCAGGAGAACGGATCGAGATAATCGAAATCGGTTTTCGCCATCATACATAGGACCCCAGGGGGAGGATCCTATCAACTTTTGGGGGCAACCGGACCACACCCCCTTTGGCGACAGGGGGTGTGGTCGGGGCAAAATGAGATTTTTAGTGCAATTTAATCTATAGGTGAAATAGAGTAAAATTATGTGTTCCGGAGTTGTGCCACACCCCCTCGGCGCCAGGGGGTGTGGTTGGGGCAAAATGAGATTTTTAGTGCAATTTAATCTATAGGTGAAATAGAGTAAGATTATGTGTTCCGGAGTTGTGCCACACCCCCTCGGCGCCAGGGGGTGTGGTTGGGGCAAAATGAGATTTTTAGTGCAATTTATTCTATGGGTAAAATTAAGTGAAATTGAGTGAAATTAAATGAAATTAAGTGAAATTAAGTGAAATTGAGTGTTTCCCCGATTTTTCCGCACCCCTTCGGCGCCAGCGGGTGTGGTTGGGGCAAAATGAGATTTTTAGTGCAATTTAATCTATAGGTGAAATAGAGTGAAATTAAGTGTTCCCGAGTTGTTCCACACCCCCTCGTCGCCAGGGGGTGTGGTCGGGGCAAAATGAGATTTTTACAAAAAATTAATCTATAGGTGAAATAGAGTGAAATTAAGTGTTCCCGAGTTGTGGTGGGACCGTTTGGGGTGAAGTACGTCTGAAGCTACTTCCGTATGCGCGTTTGCGACGGTTTATTTATTTATGTAGCTGGCTATGTAGTAAGACTGACCATTGGGACTTTCCCGGATTGACGTTTGCATACAAATAAATAAACCAAGGCTACATAAATGTAGTCGTGCAGCACTTTTGTCTCTCTGAAATTCACTTTTATTGCGAGTGAAAAGTTTCCTTAATGAGTGCATTACCTCCTTACTGTTACATAAGTGAGTGTTGGAAATGAATGAATTTTAGAGAGAGGGAGCAATAAAACCATGAATAATACTGTGGTCACTTTTGGTAGGTCAGTTCAACATTGTCAGCAGAATTTCTCCGTCACTATTCGATCCCTAGTCTCTTATAAAAGACTGAGCTAACAAGGTAAACATATTCAGAGTTTGGAATTAAACTGGTGAGACCAAGTTGACTCAATCAAAGTTGCATTGACAGTTTCTAGAACTAGTTATGCATTAAATTCGGTAACAAATTTGAATATCAACCGGTAGCATTTTTAATACTGAAAAATTAATACCAGATTTCTTAACAGTTGACGGGAATATGAGGTTCCAATTTCTGCACATTGGCATCTCTTGGAAGGAGCTTTGCAAATCAGTGGTGGCGGAATTTATGGGATCATGCCTCCTCATCGTGACCGGATGTGGAAGCATTCTCGCGGTACAGTTTGGAAATCCGAAAGGATTCAACCTCACGGCAGTCTCGCTTTGCTGGGGCATGCTGGTAGCCTCCCTGGGATTTGTAAGGAAATGTTTTAATTCAAGAAAGAATAGGAGATCTTAAAAATTGTAAACTTGTTGTCTGTGTAAAAAACTTAGGGCGTTTTTTCTTAAATAATTGGAATTACTTTATAAGTCCAGAAATTGTTCAAGCATTCTAAAAATTTGAAAACCTACACAACAATTTGTTCAACCTAGCCTGATTTTTTAAATTACGCGCTAGAAAATCCCAATGTAGTTAAAAGAGAGTTCAGGTCTTAGTGTGGAGTAATATAATGAATACCCTTAAACATTTGCAAATTTTGATAAATATTTTGCCAGAACGGGCTTTGCAATGTTATTTGTATTGTTTTCATCTAGACTCTGCAGTGCCACATGAACCCAGCGGTGACAATTGCGTTGGCAGCAACGAGCCAAATTAATATGGTCAAGGGGGCACTCTACATTATGGCGCAGTGTGCTGGTACAACTCTGGGAGCTCAGATTCTGGTGGGTTTTACCCCGAAAAGATTTACTTGGTCGCTGGGAACAACTCAGTTAGCGAAAGGCGTATCACCATTGCAAGGTCAGGCATATATATAGGATATGTAGGTCTTGTGTGGTTTAAATAAACTTGAAATAAACTGTTGCGCACTCTTAAAAATAATGGTGGCCATTGGAAAGAAAACGAAATTTTATACTAAGCACGCCAAACTTAATCCAGGGTCACGTTAACCCGATATAACTTACGCAGTATTTAGTTTAGTTTACTAAATATTTATTTTTCACAATTATACCATCATTTTTAAGAGTGTATCTAAATTGATGCATGTCTTAAGGCCTTCGAATGGAATTCGTCGCAACTTTCCTTCTTCTGTTGGTAATTTCTCGTGCAAACGATAGAACACGTGAGCCAGGAGGATTAACAGATCTAGCGGTTGGATTGTGCGTTTCAGCGCAAATATTCTGTTTTGTAAGAGAATAAAAATGCAATGGGTACACTCTTAAAAATAATGTTTGTTTATTTACAAGCCCTAAATTTTACTGCAAGAAAAGGATGATAAATTCAGGGTAACCTTACCTTGGCTTTACGAAATTTAACGTGTATTTTGGATTTGGTCGAATTTACTTAATATACGATTTAGAGCTTATTTACTTTTCAAAAGGGGAACATTATTTTCAAGAGTGTACATAAATAATTTGGACCTATTTAAATTGATGTGAACTCCTGTATTTCGTAGGGTCCTTTCACTGGAGCGAGTATGAACCCTGCCAGATCTTTTGGGCCATCTTTCATCTCCGGGTATTGGAAGAATCACTGGATTTACTGGGTTGGCCCGATTTCCGGCGCTTTCGCGGGAACCATCTCATACCACCTTCTGTATCAATCATCTCCAAAGTCCGACCTTCGAAAGGAAGGAGTAATTACTAAGAATACCAGCAATGGCCACATTCCTCGCGTGGAAGAAAATGGAAGTGTGCATTGCGTCACCTTGGGCGCGTAAATATTTCTATGCACCTCAAGAACCCTTTTTGTTGATAGATCGATATTTCGTGTGATTTAAGTCAAAGGAGCCTAAAAGGTGGGGACATCTCTGACATGGAGCAGAGGTAATAAATGGCGCCAGATTTCAAAAATTGTCTGAAAGCCCATTAAATTTTAGTGACCAAAAGTTCAGGCTCAAAAGTTTGCAAAAAATTACTGGCTGAATGACAGCCTTTTTCTGAATTATGGAGAAGCACTTATGTCATTTTCCTAGTTTTTATTGTGCCCTTATGTTATTTTGGAATTAGTACGACGGTATGTTATTATAATTACATTGCATTGTTTAAATCTGCGTGAGAACTTGACATTTATTGACCTCATGACCAATTTTGCATTGACGAAATGCATTCCCACGTCAAATATGTTGATAGATATTTTTGAGGCGAAACCGGTAGTCTGTGACAAATTCATCAAAAAGATTGTGTACATTGGCCCAACTATTATTTTTATCATAAGGAAGAAACAAATTCTGAGTTTTTGTTACATATTCAGTCCGATTGAATTCAGTCAATCCTTTATTCATAGCCAACATCGCAATTAATGATATAATTAAAATAATCAATGTTAGACGGCTTACATATCAGATATGGCTAATTGAAACTATTTATCAATAAATCTAAAATTTATTAAATTCCACTTCTACCTTCGTATAGGTAGTCGTTTATTGGATACTTGCAAACGCAACCTTTCTGTATTCGTTCAATTCATTGCCCATCATTTTTTAATGAGAAATTCACAATTTTATTAAAATATTCAACTACACATTCAAGAAATATGTTTTGAAACGTAAGCAATGCCGAGTGTTATGAAATAAATTCTATATTAGCATGTGGAATATATGAAATGAATACAGTATTTTCTGTCGGCATGTTATTGACTTGCCAAAATCACATTGATCACGGAAAAAAACTTTTCTTTGTGGATTATAATATTCTTTTATTGTCGTCAAGAGTAATCTATGTACGTCATAATAAACAAGTGTGTAACCAGACGTGACATTATGTTAGCTCTTTTGAATTGTAAAAATTCTAACGTACGTACATCATGCCATAATGAATTCCATTCTGATATTTCGTACAGATATAAAATAGAGAACTTGCTAGAATTCAAACAAATTGAGTCTTAAAATTCCACAAAATTTGCTCCTAAAACCATTTACAAAAATGAAGTCGACTTTTATAGTTTTCCTCATCCTTCAAGCACTTGCTTTAGTATTTGGTCAGGTAAGCGCAATATTTGAAATCGGTAATGTGTAGCTTAACTTACACTTTGTTTCCAAACGAGGCTTAGTTGAAACTTTCGTCAGTGCTATCAATTAGAGATTTATGTGAAATTGAATGATCCTCATTATGTTGCAAACATGAACAATACCTCAACTAGAATCATATTTATGCTGTGTATTTTAAGAATATATTTTACCAGGGCGGCGATGCACATATAACTGACATTTTCAAGATCGGTAGCGGGGGTGGGGGTTATTTCATCCTTTTAATCGCACACCCAGTTTCACCTAAGCAATCCTTTTTAAGGTGTAGTTTATATTAAAATAGCAAGAAATTAAAAAAATATATTAATTTCCCAGCTCCGCCTATGAAAAATTCGGAAACTCCAGAAAACCTTATAGAACTCTAAATCGTACCATATTAAGTACACGCCAAGTTAAAATGTTTAATTTTTTTTAAATTTTGAACCCAACATTTGTCCCGTTCACCAGATTCCATCATCAACTCCACTCGCTCATCCATTCACTCTAGTTAAAAGTTTAGCTAAATATCTCCACATATGAAAATGTTGGTTAAAATTACTCTCACGCTTTTAATAATTGGTCGTGTCCCTACCTGCAATAACATTTGTGGCCCGTGATAATCTAATTTGGATTATCCAAGTCATTCCATTTTTCGAAAAAATGCCCAGTGTCAATGAAACGACATCACTCTCGCCCGACTTGAGTGCAGTGTTTCATTTTCTGCTGGTTTGCTTAATTTCTTGTACTTCAAAGCAAGAAACTGCATTTCTTGCAGTGTGATAAAACCGGACAAAGTGCATGAAATGCAGCGCCACCTAGCGACCCGCTATAAGAACTAGGTTCTTGTGGTTTTTGAATTTCTTGCGGGTGAAAATGACTGCAAAAAACCAATTTCTTAGGTTACTTGCACCTGTCGTGGCCCATGATTTTACGTAAATAAGTATAACATGTCTGTACCACATAAACCAAGAGGAGGATGGGAAATGCATTCGCATTTCCGGCCTGGTAGTTTACTCTAGGAATTGCAGAATACTTGTAATTTGCCTCGGTATGAATGGTCTGATTATAAGTTTCCAAATTTAACTAGAGTTTAGTTTCTTCCACGTAATTATGAATTCCCATACCAAATTTCAATTCGATTGCATCATTTTCAAAATCGGTATGGGTCTCTCCAAACGATTTCACTTCATATGCTTACATATGAAATCATTAGGTACTCACATACCAAATTTCCCCTCAAATTAACGATTATGTAAAATCGGTGTCGGTCACCCCACAGGGTCCCTCCGAATGAAAATATTTCAAATTTTACTTCACATTCTTCTATTATGAGGCATTAGCAACCCCCATGCCAAATTTCAGCATGATTGGGCGATTTTCCAAAATCGGTGTGGATAACCCTATTGGGTCCGTTAGGATAAAAATTTTAAAAATTGACTTCACATTCTTCCATTAGGAGCCATTACCAAATTCCATGCCAAATTTAAACATTCTACCACTATTTTGAAATTTGACCCCACCCGACCTATGACCCCCACCGGTCAACCACTTGACCGATTTTGGTCATCTACGAACTCAAACTGTGTATTTACATGATACACATATGTGCGAAAATTTCAAGTCGGTTGGGTTAGTTTAAAAAGAGTTATCGTTAGACAGAGAGACGGATGGACAGACGGACAGACGACATCACGGGTACATAAGCTCTGTGTCGGGCTAACAAGTTTCCTAAAAAAATTTCATTTTGCAAACCATGCACAGTTAGGGCTACTCCACTTTGCGAATGACACAATCAATTCTAAAATTTAAAAAATGTAATTTTGAAGAATTGACTGCTCAACTAAATAGATCCTTGTGCTTGATAGAAAAAAATAAATTCTATTCTCCTTAGACTTGGCAACATCACAATACGCATATGTGAGCTTGTACCTAATTCTTGGACCATAGAAGCGTGGATTTTGTCCCCCATAAAGATAACCTAAAAATCCACCTCAATATCAAGCAATCTAAACATTTTGTAATACTTGCAAAAGTGGATACTCTAATCTTGGTTTTTAGCCCAATTATACAGTACAGGTCAGGTCATGTACAGGGCAGGCAAAGGTCATTTTATCCGGAACCATTCCTCAAACATCACAGTATACATATGTATATAAGACGAAGTGAGAACTAATATGATTATGCAGTTGTTTATAAACAAATGTTATCTCATAATGCTGTGCAAAATACACTTATTTAATTGCCTCAAACCCACTAACAAAATTTCATATTTAGACCACTATGTGTCTTGATTGAAACACGAAAGACCTAATAAATACTTGACCTGGATAACCCTTGGCAAATTTGTTTCGTCCAATAATTATTTGGCTCACCTCCTGGAGATTTATGTATATTGAAACGATTACGGAATCAGCAGCCCCGATCTTGGACAAGTTACATACCGTTAAAGGACGGTATACAGTGCAACATAACTGGATCAAGGACAGGGCAAACATCAACATATAAGTGGGCCAATGGAGTTATATAACAATTAAACCATAAGGACCAAATGTTACAGAATGCCTCCAATAATGCCCAATGTTGATTGTAGTTATAAGTGTGTGTATCTATGGTATTTGTACAATTTGGTATTATCATTCTATCTTATTAATGAGTTCGGAAACATATATAAATTTTTGGCGTATGGTAAGACATATGGTGGTAGCAATGCTTAAACTGGGAATTAATTAGAGTGGGCAAACTTTTTCCGGAGCCCTAAGCCGCTCGCGCCTCCGGCTCTCGCTAACTTCAACCCCATAGGTTACCAGATAAGCTTCATGAATTTCGCTACTAAACGACCACAAATTTATATTTCGTTATATTTTTGTACAAATTAGCTTCCTTAAAAACCTTAAATTGGTATGAATTTAATGTGCATTGGATGTTGCAAATTTCCAAAGCTGTTGGTGTTCGTGTTCTAGTTGTTTTATCAAGCCAGGCTCGCAAAGAAAGGTTTTAATCGAAGTAATAAGGAGAATTAAAAAATGAGATGTCGGAATTATTGTTATGTAGGACAATTCAGGCAAATGCCTAGGCCTCTCAAAATCGATTAAAAGCAATCTATGCTGTCGATTTTGTAAAAGCAGGTTGTTCATAATACAACAAGTAAGCTGTAAAAAGGGTTGAAAGCCATTTGAGCTATGGGGATTGAATTTACCCACAAGGGACCATTTTAGGAATTGGAAACACAAATTTTGTCTTCTTTACAAGTTTCTCAACAGAACTCGAGATGCTATCGCGAAAAAATAATTGATTTCAGCTGTGTTAAAAATGTAACCAACAAAAGCTTTATATAGGGTTTTCGACCATGGGAAACTAGATTGATGGTTTCACGACGTTCGTAACCGTGGATTCATAAAAAGTCATTCGTAAATTTGCGTCATTACATTTCAGTTGACGTGTAGAACACTTTATAAATAATTTTCGTAAACGTGTTTCTAGAATTTCTCTATCTCTCCACAGCTGTAACAATGTATCGTACCCTAAATCTTCACCTATTCAATTCTTACGAAATTGGTTTGCGAACGAAAAAGACGCCTCAACATTACGTATATTTAAGAAGCTTCGTAAGGATTGAATTTTCGTAAATGTCGTAAATTAACTCTACTTACGGCATTTACGACAATTACGAGCGTGAAAACCCTGGTATTTTTTTGTGAAAATTCAATTGTATAAGCTTTTCTTGCTAACTTTGCAAGTTAGCGAGAAATATGTGCATTAAAAATATCGTTAAATTTGGATATCTAAGCACAATCTCCATGTGTTTAAGGGGATTTGACCTATAAGCCTTGTCAAGTTACAAGTTGTAACCATTCAATTCAATGCGAGATGTGCAAAAACCTAATGCGTTTTGTCCAAGTTTAAATCCAATATTGTTTTCAAACAAATTTGAATATAGTTGAAATAAAAGTAACATACAGCAAAAAATGCCTACCAAAATCATTTCTCAAAACCTAGAGTTTCTCAAAACCGGGAAAAAAGGAAAATTAGAATAACAACTTTTCTATGATTAGTACCATAATTTTTACCTTTGCTTATATCTAATTAATCTACTAAAATTGTTCATAATATCTAGTGTACGTCCGGGCGCCTACCGGCGCCCCTCCTGAGCTGGCGCCCCGGGCAACCGCCCTGCTTGCCCACCCCCAGTTTAGGGCCTGGGTGGTAGGTAATATTAGAACAATTAAATTTTGTGTCTTCGCGTCTAGTTTAAAAGTTATTCAGTAATTAGTAATATTCCCTGTTAAATTTCTGAAAATCAAGAAAAAATTATCATCGGAAACATAATTTGAAATTGGCATATTTGATAGATTAAAATGTCGTAGTTAATACAAAAATGTAAAAACTTTGTATTTGCGAACAGTTTTCGAAATACGAAGTAATTAGTTGAATTAAGATAAGGTAGGGTAAGTATTAAGTATTAAGTATTAAGTATAGGTAAAGTATGTAGCAAGTGGCCCCAAACTATGAGCTCTCCAGCCAAGTAATTATTAGTCACTCAAAATTTAATTAATTTGTGCATAGTTGTTATCATTTCATTGGTGTGCTGTAGTAAATAGTGTCTTAATAAAAACTAGTGATTAAAGTGTAATTTCTGAAACTTTATTGGCCTTATTTCTACATCGAGTAGTGCAACGTGGTGAAAAGAACATGTGCGCAAATAATCGTTAAGTCATTCGTTAAGTAACTCTAAGACGCCGAGGTCACGGGATTTACAACCCCAAAGATAAGTTAGATAAGTGAGCTACTAGTGAGCGGCGCCGTAACACCAAATATAGTTTGCCGATTATTTTATAAACGACATGCCTCTTGAACCCCATGAACCCCTAAAGAACCGGGCAGTAACGCTGGGACTACAGTGTTTGATATTTTATTAATCCATATCATTACTTCAACCATGTTTTACATGGATTGATCTTTTTGCCCTGTTAACATCAAGTTGTTCCATAATACAGTCGTATTTAATTACCAACATGTTAGCATAGTACATATCGTGTTGTCAAAACCATTTAGAGTCTATAGGCTAAATATGAAATAATTCTACTTTCTTCCCGATGCAATAAAACAACACTAACAATTATTACAATTATTACAGGTTACATGTCTACCTGCAATTTACAAGTTGAAGAAAGTTCGTCTGGTATAAAATGGAGGCACTGAGATGTTCTGAATGTCCACTATACTTTTGGATATTGTTTTGGCATAAGTCTTGCAGTTATGGTTGTACCTTTCCCTGCTCCCTGGGAATTTTGGGAATTTTAAAACTCCCAAAATTCCCAATTTTCCGGGAATTTATTTCAGGGAATTTTGGGAACTTTGAAAATGCATTTTTAACCTCCAAAAGGCTTGAAGATACTAGTTTTGAGGTTATGTTTTCCGAATACTCAACATTTTTAATAATCAGTGAGTTCAAATTTTTATTTCAATTTTACGTGGTTAGTTTATGCAACATAAAATTTAAGATACATACTAATGTATTTGAACATGGCGCTGAGAATATTCCCAATTTTCCCTGAAAGTTTCCAAAGTTCCCTATAAACTCCCAATTTTCCCTCAAAACTCCCAATCTTCCTTCCAAAACTCCGGGAATTTAAATGGAAGGGAATATATGGAGCGAGGAGGGAATTTATTGGGAAGATTGGGAGGGAGGGAAGGTACGGGAATTTATCGGAAGGGAACGGGAATTGTACAACCATGCTTGCAGTAGCTTATTTTTCATAAACTTTCTCAGACGTGGACTTCTACTTCATAATGGATAAAATTGATTGGTTAATCTCATGTGTCAATAACTTCCTCGGGGATTGGATATCCTTCTCGAAGACGTTGTATCTCTTCACCCATAAAGAAGCCCGTTATTCAGCAAGTTATGTAGAGTAAGTTGGTCACATTTTTAATATGACGGTGGCAAGTAAATAGTAGTACTAAATATATATACTAATTCATTCACAGATCATGCCGCCGAAGCTTGCGAATGGGCTTGACATGTTCTTTTCTACCATTCCGATATGACGAAAATGCCAAATCTATTTCTTTAAAACCGTTCCCCAAATGGGCTGCTAACCTAAACTTTGTCCTTCATATTGTCATTTGCGTTCTTCACTTGGGCATGGGTTTTCATTGGAAGAAGACCATCGGAAAGGGGGTCGGGTTAGACAAGGCTGGCAAAAAGGAACTGACCTGGAAGAAGATTGTCCAATTTTACTATGCCGCCTTATCCGGATTTACCCTGGTAATTGCCATCTTGTACAGGCGGCGAGCTAACCTGATGAAGCCGTTGCTCACCTTTCCGTTCCATATGGAAATAAAGTGGTGCCAGGGACGAAAAGGTTACGTGACCAATCTACTCCTCGGCTTGACCGCATGCGCAACGGGGACCTGTCTCCTCTTACCCTTCATATATTTAGCTGCCTCTCTTCTGCGGCCATGTCTCCCATTCTTATCGGTTTCCCTGGTGACGAAAAGCTGCCCGACTTGGAGTTCGATTGGAGAGGTTAATTTAGGTGTTAAAACCTTTTTCGCGTTGGTTGAGTACTACTACTGGATATTTATACTTGGGATATATCTTGGGATTGGGTGGATTGCCCTAGTGTATCCAGGGATCGCTGCAAAACTCAGGGTTGACGCCATCATGAGGTAATTTGTCACCAATTAATCATCCTAAGTTTACAAAATTTCGTTACAGAAATGTTCAGTTTTAGGGAAGTTGTTCCACATTCCCCGAATCATTGTTTTGCCCACTTTCCTAATACTTTGTGTGGGTGGCAAAAATGGGAAAAAAACTTCCCTACTGCCCTGGCCATTTTTGTTTTTGCCAATCGAACCCTTGAATGATTCTATTTGTGTTTTAGATCGGTAATGATATATTAAATTGAGATTATTTGATATAATAGCGAACTGAAGGTAGGAACTGAAAGTGGGATCGTGGGATTTCGTGAAATTCAAGTCCTTCAGGTTCTGACCAACTTATTTTGGAAGTTTCCCTTGATGCAGCTACTCCTTGGGATGTGGTTGGTTTGCGAGGTGAGCGCGCTCTACAGCAACGTTCGGCTGGCAGGGACCCTTCCACTGGAAATCTTTACCTATTTCAGTCTGATTAGCATCGATGGAGCAGCACTAATTCACGTCCATTTTAAACTGTTAGCTGTTCCATGCATTGCCTCACTCGAGATGTTTGAATACAGGAAAAAGATGCCAAAAGGGGGCAGTCGATGGTTCCGGCGAGTGATCAAATCATGCTCGCCGTATCAGCTAAAAATGGCGGATGGGCGTTTTTTTGATAAAAAGACGGCACTAGTTATCTGGCAGTTCGTGGTGGATCGACTCGTCATGTGTTTGATCATGTAGAGAGAATCTTAGCAACGCCTACGGATAACAAACTTTTGAGTAAAATATCCGAAAGAACTTAGCATACAAATTTATATCTTACCCAGATGAAGTCATCGATCTCATTGTAAGCATTTCGTCTTACTAAGTTGGAAATAACTAATGTGCATCTACGCATTAAATTATGCGTCGCAGTATTAATCAACCTGATGCATAACTAATACATTTTGTGCACATAGGTTATTTGCTGTCTATTATTATCTACAATTGTATGATATAATCACATGAACTTCGCCCGCAACCATGTAAGGCAATGTAATGTAAGGCAACCTTCCAATAAAGCGAATACATACTAGAATTTTCATATATCCTAAATTATCTCAATGATCTCCGATCCCATGTCAAACAAATAAATAGAATATTTCTCGTTTTATTTTTTTGCTCGCTACTTACCTCCTCACTGATAAGTTAAAAAAAAGATTTATTGACAAATAACCATGGCACAACTATGTGCATGAATACACGACCGTATATGACATGTGAATACTAGGGCATGTGATATTGATATTTCGAGACCTCGAAATATCGAAATCTCGGAATTTCTCCTGATATTGAATTATCGTCGCCCAAATATCGATAACTCGATATTAATGTTCTTTGTAGAAAGTCATTAAAACCGATGAAAAACACTAAAAATTGCATTCATTGTACATGTAAATTTACTGTCACAAGATGACTATTATAAATGAGTACTTTCTAATCATTCCGGTGGAGTTAATACATATCATAGACTGTATGTCCCTTATCAACGGTGTGGCGTTTCTAGTTATATTGTACTATGAAATAGCGACAATGACATGTACAATTCAAAATGGTATTATGTACATATAGCTGTTGGCTGCTTAATTTCTACTACACTATTACATATATATCTATTTGCCACTCAAGAGATCGATGTGAGTGTTGACTTAATTTCAAAGTATTTTCTGTTGTGGTTTATGCAAGCAATGCAACCAAAAGTTTTCTGAAAAATTTCCATTAAACTAAACGAATTTGCTTTAATTTCCTTGAAAATTGAAGAAGATAATCATACCGTCAAATGTGTGATTTTGGATGATAATGATATTTAATTAATTGCCGACACATATTTTTGGGTGCGGCAATTTAAAATTACTAGGAATTGCTTGATAACGTCAGAAAATTCTTTTATCGAGTAATAAGTCTTATATTCGTGATTTAAAAAGGTTTTAAAATTTTCAATATTTCGATGTTGAGATGCTCAAATATCGAAATATCGAAATCCAAAAATCGGGTGAATATCACATGCCGTAGTGAATACATTCGCACGTCATCTGATTAGTCACCTATTTTTCCTATGAAAATTCATGCACAGAATCACATTTTGCTAAGTCATTTATGCAATTGTGTATGAGGATTCTAAATGCTACAGAAAAATTCAATTGCTAACCAATTCAAACCATTTTTTTGTAAGGAATTTTATATTGGGACGGATACAATGAATGTGTAAATAAAAAAAGTCAACTTATTTTCTGCAAGATATATGTGTGATTATATACAAATTGTGTGCCGGCATTTAAGTATTTAAGCTTAGTATGTAAGGATATGAATAAATACTTGTCCAAGTGCAGGATACTTGATCCACCTCGTTTTCATGGGAATGTAATAATGCAGTCGATAATGTAGTCGAAGGTTATTTTTGTGAAGGTGATTGTGGTGGAAATGGTGACGAAATAGAACGAGCCGACATAAATGCGGATGGTAGAGCATGATGTGAGGACCCTCCTGAAATCCTTGTGTCTCGTTTGGCACCACGAGTTCAAGAAGGAGGTGGCAATATCAAACATTTCCGCGGAGACTTGCAGCATTCCATACCCGCATGAGCCACATACAATCACACCAAATGGATAGGTCAGGATGGCTGGAAAATCCTCGATAAACTTGTGGTTCATGGAACGGATCATGACGTAGGCGCAGGACACGACCACCGACCAGTTGGTAAGCTGAGAGACGAAAAATATTAGTGGTTGCATAAAGTATACATAAGTGTAACAAAAATAGTACCGATTGGTACCTGATACACAAAATTTGGCTCTAACAAACAAGGGGTAACGGTTTATGAGTTTTATTTACTAGGGTCGGATTCGAATTTAATAAATTTTGAGTAAAATAAAATGCATGTAAAAAGTTAGATTAGGCAAGGTGAAATGATGTATTTGTTATTTGTACACTTTTCGTAGTATTATGATAAATTAGTTCTTTGCCATTTTAATGCGTTGCGTGAAAGGTTTTGGAGTGCATGAAAGTTATGGAAAAATTGTCAGGAGCATAGCAAAAAAGTTGGGGAAAGGATTGATGAGCTGTGTCTGGAGAAAGTTGAGAGCAATTGGGTACGAAAGTCAGGATGGTGCAAATCTCACTTGCACCTGCACACCCGTCTTATGTGCAATAGAATTAAGGATGTTGCGTAATTTCCATCATTTATTTGAACAAGGCAAAAAAAGTTGTATGTCCCGCTCTGGTTCTACCCATATTTACCTTCATGACAGGAAAGGCGAGTGGAGAGATACATTCGTTTAGAACGGAAGTAAGCACTTGGAGTGAGCGGTAGAGTTCGATGGCCGTGTACGACTCACGCAATTGGTTGATAGTATAACCGGTTTCGTTGTTCTGGCTGAATGAAGAAGACAGTTTTTTTGTTCACATAGATTGAAAGTTAGCAGGGGAAAGTACCAAAGTATCAAAGGGTTTGAAAGTCGACACTTGGAAAAAAAATTGCAGAATGCATTACTTCTGACGTGTGTAAAGGGAAGGAATTCAAATCCACTTTACGTCAAGACTGTTAAGGCGAGTTGAAAGCAGTGGAACCGGGTAACCAGGGTTGCAGAAATCTCATCTCACCTTCACAAATCTCATCTCAGTGAGAAAAAGTGACATTAGTGAGAAATAATGAGATTAGTGAGAAATATGAGAAATAGTGAGATTTATGGGCGCCATCTAGCGGATAACGTAATGCACTACCAATAGTGCTTTACTATTACCGCTAGATGGAGTAATAAATCTCACTATTTCACATTTATCTCACTCAGGCCCAAATGAGGTGATTGATATATATCATTAAATCTCACTTCGTGATATATATCACTTGCAACCCTGCGGGTAACCCAGGCCGCGGATATTGGTACTGTTGTCGCCCTTCAATGTGATTGACACAATGATAACTCCCCACGTAAGACAAGAATAGGCAAAAATGCAAATAAACCAAGTTCTCCAAAACTATTCTTACTGCGCCTCCATTAACCAAAATTCGACACAGTTGACATGGGCTACCGTGATCCAAGCGAGGAGACAGAAGACGGACACGGTCTGCCCAGCCATGATCCATTCCTGTTAAAGAGATGGATTGTTTTAAACTAATAATCTTAACTGGAAAATTTGTGATTTTTTACATGAAAAGCGCCTGGAACGAGCCACCACTTGGGGTTGTCGGAAGAGTAGATATAGCTCGTGAGATACCAGGGCTGGTATGGCATGAAAAGATAGAGTAATACACAGAGCACGAGCTGAATAAAATTCGCGGGTACGGCCAGTCTTAAGATGGACTGCCCGTGGTCTCCTAATCCATCCAAGGTAATCACAAACCGTTCTGAAAAAATTGCAGAGGACAATTATTTCGTCGTGATCATGGTTACTAAATATGTATCCCGAGTTTTAAGTTTAGTATTGAATTGTAAGTTTTGGCAGGTTGAATGAATGAAAGAATGTTTGCTAAGGAATCAATCCTAATCCTAAATCTAGGACGACGGCGAAATATCTGAGATTATTCCCGATCTCGGATTAATCTAGGCATAATATTTAATCTAGGCATATGTAATATAAATCCTCGGGGCATATTTTTTTTTAATTTAGTCCTTTAATCTTAATTTTATACAGTCCATAACCATATGCATTTATCTAATCGTGCATCTGTGTCTAAAATGTAGAATATGCAAATGCATAACAAATTCGATTTATTCCCTCAGCCGAGAATCACCTGAATTTCTGGGAATTTTAGGAAATTCTGAGGTATGATTAAGTGTATGTCGAGGATTTGTAGGACACCTGCCGTGTGTACGATTCTGGGAAACATTGGTATGGAAATTTGACATCTGGTGAGGTGCTTGTTACGGTAACGGTTAGGTTAGGTTAGGTTAAGGGCGATCACCGGAAGGTGGCAGTTTATTGCTGTTAACAGCTTCATCAATACGGGCTGACAGTCACAATCACTGGTAAAGTCACCAGGCGACACCACATGGTTATAATTGTAACCAGAATATTTGGTCTTAAATTTAGAATATTTGCAGTGTAGCAGACTCACCAACGTTTTTCTCGTTGAAGGCGAGCAGGGTGTTAATATAACACCGGAATTTCTCCCTGTACAGGTGCATCACAGTGTTGAGCGAGATGGAGTAGAGGTACCAACAAAGGGACAAGGAGTTCATAAAGACGGGGCGATAGCTCCCGTTGTCCAGCTGCACTCGGGTGAGTAAGGCGTAAAACTGGTAGCCTGTGAGGGATGTGTTTTGCACGACAAAAACCCACCAAACCATTGACCACACCCTTAGTACGCCCGGACTGCAGAGTTTAACTCGTCTCGATTTATGATCATACCACCATGGTAATGCCCAGGTTAGAGCACCAGCTATGCACACTTGGCGCAGGCGGTTGACCGCATTTGTGCTGAGGAGGCAAGGCCTCTCCGCCTTGGCTGATCCAAGGTAACCTGGTGGCGCGTGCGGCTCTTCTTCCATTGGGGTGGAGGGGCTTCTCCTGGGCGAATAACTTGTCTCGGGTCTCATTCCGCCCCCGCCCTCCTTGACATCATATGAAAGGTCTGGAATGCGGGTTGGACGGATATTATTCCCCATTCGTATTGGAGGGTCTGGCGACCCGTGTTGGGGAGATTGCTCCTTCAGCAAGTTGTTGATACCGAGGTCGCCTCCATAAATTTGCTGGATATTGAAAACGTCAGAGCTTTCTTGGTATCCAATTGTGCCGATGCCAGTAACTTTGGCGAGGTTGCGACGACGGCGTTTCCCTAGGGAACCGGCGGCCTGCATGGCTTTTTTGATGTTATGCGGATACGAAATGGTGGCTGAAGCAACGAATGAGGATGATGTACCTCACTCGGCGTCGTAATTTATACCGGATCATATCCAGAGATTTGTTAGTGTTATGAAAGAGGTGCGAGGGTTTGGTAATTAGTTTTTTGATCAAAAGTTATATCATTTCTTCCTCACGCTATGTCCTTCAGCATGGACTAATGACTATTGCATATCATTAGATAAGAGATAAGAGATTAATCCAAGAAAACTAACACGAAAAATAAATACCTTTTTGTAAGCCGAGAATTAGTGGCCGATCGGCTAAATATTAACAACTTGGTTTTACACGACAATTTCAAAATGCACACATTCTTAAGTCGGCTCAGAAGTGTTACGAATATGAATGGGTGGGGAGGTAAAATAGTGTCACCCACTGACCACTGAGAGTCCTGGCGGTGATGCAATATTATGTTCTTGATGTTCCAATTCTCCAGAACTTAACACAGCGATGGATTGGAAGTTTGTATTGCATGACATTAACCAAAATATGCATGTATCCTCCTCTCATTCAACAACTCCACACTGTACAAGAACACCTTATGTAACATATTTATTTATTTTTTAGCTTTCGTAGATTGTCCTGGTGCAGTTTTATGTAATTTTTCCGTTGCCTGATATTTACCTGACTAAGGAGGAGAGTTTGTCACTTCGATAATGACAGATCTCGATGCCCTTTGGAGGGGTGGTAGTACCCCATGAGAGAAGAAAATGCGTTGAAGGGTTTGATGCCATGGCCCCATTTGCTCCCGCCACACCCCTTTGAAGGCGCGCCCGTTGCTAAACTATCAGAACTCAAATCTTCACCAGAAATCCATTTTTGCTCGGATTTTCAAAAATTTTACATATTCTTTATCTCATATAGTTGCTTTATCATATTAAATATCAAAATCACGTTTTTAAAAATTATCAAAATTTTCGAATATTTCCTGAGCCAAGTCTTTCTTAAAAAAGTGTCAAATTTCAAAAAAGTTGAGATTAGTGTCGAATATGATAAAGCAACTATCTTGGATCAAGAATATGTAAATTTTTTGAAAATCCGAGCAAAATTGGATTTTTAGTGAAGGTTTTAGTCCGGCTAGTTTAGCATTGGGCGCGCCTTCAAAAGGGTGTGGCGGGCGCAAATTTGGCCATGGCATCAAACCCTGCAACACTTTTTGTTCTCTCATGGGGTACTACCACCCTTCCAAAGGGCATCGAGATTTGTCATTATCGAAATGACAAACATTCCTCCCAAGAAAAGTATACCATCAAGCCTTAATTGTGCGAGTGCAAGGAAATGAATTCATCTTATTTTGATTATGAATTACATAATTTTTTCTCGCTACGAAATAATGACGAAGTTTGATGAGATTTTCTGCTTAATTGATAATTTAATTGTGTAAATTATACGTGATTACAACGTATAATTAAGGAATATCTACCAACGTGTATCTCCAAACTCGCTGCGTGCATATATAAATAGTCAACTTATAGTTTGGGAGGAAAACCTTGTCATGTCTGATTAGATTACTTTTTTTTTTACTAAATATGTTGATTGGAGCCCAAACACATATCAATGACAGTTTATGTCTGCAAATTATCTCACAATATGAATTGGTTCAAGGAGAATCAACAGCTTACATTAGTACCCGTACAAATTTTAAATTAATGGGAAAAAGTGGTTTGCGTGTTGATTCAAAAAGAAGTGCGTTAGTTTAGATCATGCCAACTGGTTTATTAACGGCATATTGCTTTTACATAAGCATGCACAACGAGAAGCTAGGAAAGCTTGAAAATTAATGTGTTACATAAGTTGTTTTTGCACAGTGAGGAGTTGTTGAATAAGAGGGGGCTACATACATATTTTGGTTGATGCCATGCAATACAAACTCTAAAATCTATGGTTGTGTTAAATTGTGGAGAATTGGAAAAATTGCATAATATAGCATCAGCCTCAGAACCCTAAGTGGTAGGCGGGTGACACCATTTTACCTCAACGATCCCCACCCAAAGATATTCTAAACGCACTTCTGATCAGATTCAAAAACTTGTTTGGCACTAGTATGTGTGGACTTGAGTGTATTGCTTAAAAAATGTTGTCCACTGTAGAAAAATTCTGCACATTCTAATCCATATATGGATATTTGTGTATTACTGCTTTCACTCTCCTTTGCCATGTACATAAAAAAATGCTGAAATGCTTTTCAGATTTTTTTCTGATGTTTAGCAGATTTACCCTTCTCCTTCCTTCGCCTTCCCTTCCTTCTCGTGAAGGAAGCTTCTTTCTGCACAAATAGAAGGAAGCTGCGCAGGTATGATTACGATATTTTGACATTGCTTTTTTTGCTTGGGAGTACACTGCAATTCATATGAAAATAAAATTCGTAAATAATTGAGTTGAGCTTTTGATTGGAAATTTAAGTCTATACAGTCTGGAAATTCTGTATAAAATAAAGTAACATAATATACGTATTTATCTACTAAGGTGTAGTTTTTAGGGGAATGTGATCTACATATCGTCGCCGTCATTCTAAAAAGACCTATGTGCAGTCGAGGGTTAATTTTAAAAAAACCTATGTGCATGGTAAAATCGAGTAAAAAGACCTACGGGGATACATGGGTTTAGTTATGCATCGCAGTATTTAGCAAGATAACTAAACCCATGTATGCACATAGGTCTTTTTACTAAGAATATAGTTTTTATTAATTACTTAAGATAAGTTGTATCACAGAAAATTTCAAAATCATTAGGGCCAGTCTACCTACCCAATACATACATACAAGCTGGGAGAATTTTTGAAAGTTCTTCTGCAAATCTGTGACGTGAGTTAGAAATTAAGTAAAGTTTTGGGTTATTTGAAATACATATAAGTAAATATGTGCTTATTGAGTATCTAAGTTTAGAACAACTCACCTCACATTGCATTCTAGCATCAGGGTCACGGGTTTTGAGATGTGTGTCAATTTGGCACTTAAATTTTCGGACAGGCATTTGAAATGTTGTCGTAGTGATTGCATTGACATCTAGGAGGAAAAGTGATACATTTTTGGTGAGATATATTTTGTGTGAAAATTAATTTGCGAGATCAATTATGTTTGTACGAACGATAATCTTTACGTGGTACACAGGTAACTGTGGCAAAGAAAATCTTATGAGAGGATCTCCCTCGACAAAGGACGAGGGCACAAATAAAGTATGATTTCCAGGTAAAGAAATTATGTTACTAAATCCTTGGTCGGTATGTTAAGTTGGTAGTGTAAGTACGAAGTAGCTGGCCTTCTGAAGTATGTTAGAATGAACCTTTTCTCAATGCTAAATCCTCGGTTGGGATACTACATAAATATGTTTATTTATAGGGACCAAAATATCTCTTAAAATGGTACCTGTGAAGCAAGCCTGTGTAGTTGTGTGTGTACATTTGGAAAGAAAAGTTGACTTTCCTTTCCAAACATATTGAATTTTTCAACTCTTCCCACGATTTAAATATGACTTATATTTGTATTAGGGTTGCCGCGGGTCGCGGGCACGGGTACCCGCACCCGCTTACCCGCTTGATTTGGCGGGTAGCGAGTGTTACCCGCGCGGGTAGCGGGTAATTCAAAATTTACCTATTTTTTATCATCAATCACATAATTTAAGTAGAACATTCTCTAACAAAAAGCTAGAAAGCCGGGCAACAAAAAGGTTTCCCTCGTGAGTAGAATAAATATAGATTTATCTGGCCCAAAAACAATCCTTCTCATATCTAGCATCCCCATAAGTTTGTATCCTTCCAAGAAAATCTAAATATAAATCAGGCCACCTTTTTGTGCAATATCTGCCACTGGTCAAAAATAATTGAATCCAATCGAGTTTCCGAGCTTGTCCTGAGCACATAGCAAATACTTTTTTTACTCAAAGCCACCTTAAAAAATGCATCTGAAACAAATCACATTTTCTTCGTGTTTAATAATTTTCTCACTATTATCTGATTTTGTGACGATGGGGTACAAGATTTTGCAACTGGATTCGAACTGTAAACTACCATGGCATAGTAGGCGTTTCGAATACGACTACGAGGTTTCGCCAACTGCACGAAACTATAGTGCCACCCGAGTCTCAATTTCAACAACGGTATCTGTCCAGTCTTATGACATGGACCTGGAATCAAGCGTTTTTAAAGTAATAGTGGGGTCCACGTTTCGATGGAATGATCCCAGGCTCGCATATGGACAACGAGAAGGTAACACGATTCATTAATAATTAAATCTATTAAAAAACACCTAAACAGCGGCATGCTGTTTCTTGCAAATTTCATGCATACCGTAAATATATTATTTATAGCCGGGGCTAAAATTTAAAACAGAGGGTCGTAGACTCAACTAAAATTAGAGATCTGCTAGAATCAGAAAACCGGCTATTTTTTTTTACTCTGCATAACTTGGACGAGTTTGAAATTACTTTATGGCGCAGTGTATCTCTAATTTTGACAATTAAAGTTTTCGAAGGCTCTTTCACGTTGCTACCTTTGGCATACCGTTCACATTGGATGTGGTTGACATTCATTCTTCAGTAAGTTGTATGTCATACCAAAGGGTTTAAATAACAGAACGGGTTAAAATTCCCAAGCCGGCATGGGGTGTACATAATGCATGAAGAAACTTTTAGAGAAAGCTACATAATTCAATGACTAATTATTGAACAGGGTGCAACCGCAGTTACATTGTGCAAGATAGTAATCATTTGTCTATGAGTTTCTGGCTTCCATCGGATTCTAAGAAGCCGGGCTATCTTTGTAGTGGAGACCAATATCGATCGTACATTATTCTTTACAGAAATGGAGATGTAAGTGAATTATAAATTATATAATAATTATTTTAAAACACATCGTAACGTGATCGCATCCTTAATTTAGGTTACACTTTCTACCAGCTATTTCCCACAAGTTGACAAGGTGACAAAGTTGGGGGAGAAGAAATATGTAGCCGAGTTAAACATGATACCTGAGGAATTTGAGGATGAAGTGGTCTACGAGTGGCGTCCTATCACCGTCGGGTTTAAGGTCGTGAATGGATATAAAATAAGCGCTGAGTGGAAAAAATGCGTAGTTGGTGTTGTTAATAGTAAGAGGAAAAGTTGTATGCGATTAGTCTTGTTCTTCATGGGATAATAGAGTAGGTAAAAGGGTTACCGATGGGTAAAAATGATATGGCAATACATTTTTATCAATATTTCGAAAATTTGTCGTGCCAGCAGATAAGGAAAATATAAAATTCATATTATACTGTTGTTTTGCATTCCCTTAAATATGTACTGTTCAACTTTAATAAGAATAAATAGGTTTCTAACCTAACCCAACAATTAATATGCTCTGGTTTCAATCAAATTTTAAATGTCTATTTATGTATTTTTTGCAACGATTAAAAAATTGCATAGCAACGGTTAAAAATTGCAAGACAAGCGTTATGGAGAAGCAAAAATACTGCATGTAAGTATGCTGCACTAAAATAGAATTTAAAATAAAATTTAGAATAAATTTTTTATTATTATACAAATTAAGGTAGTTTGAAACTAGATCATACTATGTATGTTACTTATTTTTAGGTCACGCTGTGTGCTAATAATGCATGCATTCTTTCTGTGCAAACAAGACAACTATTTAGCTGAGAGAATAATCGTTAATAAAAATCCTGACCTCAATATTCTCGCTCTGTGTATTCATTTTATTCATCAGCAATGCTTGTATGATTGTCACATCAACAAAATTTGTGCTGCCGTTAAGCAAATACTCGACTAAATACACTTTTGAATTGTAGCCTATTACATAGATATGTACAAAAGTGGAACGTTGTCCACATGTCACCATGCTCATGGGGAGGTTGGTGGTTTAAGAAACTTACGTGGAGGATCAAAGTAATTAGGCCAAGTATGTATAAAGTAATTTATTGTTATGCATTACCATATTTATCAATCTTTACAAAGTAATGAGCCAGTCAAAAATATTTGTGATCTTCTCACTCCCACTCAGTTCTACATCATCTTTCTCCAGATACAGAGGATTCGCCTTTTATGCAAAATGAAGTCGCTTCTGGTGATATTTATTGCCATTCAAATGAATGGTAAGCATTAATTCTAAAAATATTACCAGAAATTTGGGTACCTGTAAATATTTACAATATCCGTTTATTTTATTTAATAAATAATTATATTTTTAAATTTCTGCAAATCCGCTTGGATTAGAGCGGATCCGTGCTTAGGAAAAGACGAAGGCATTAATTTCATTTACGGTCCTGGTGAAATAGGTTTGTATTTACCCCATATTGGGTTTTTTATTTTTTGCATATATATTTATAAATATAGAATGTATTTATAAATTTTTATGTATATTTCGCTTTTGCGTTTGTATCTCATATACATATAAATTTAGAACGTCCGTGCGCAACCAGTAGGAGGCAGGTATCATCTCCATTGAGTTGTTTAAAATGCCATGGGGTTGATGAATGTTACCAGGACTTCACGAGGGGATTTATTTGCACCGAAATATGCGACAAAGGTGAGTTCTTTGTTTCAACTTCATTAAAAATTTAGTTAGTAATCACAAGAAGATTATTGAAATTGGGTGTGACGAAATTTGTGATTTGTTATTAACTCATTTTTTCAGTGTCTGAGAAATGCACCATTCTCTACCATGATGGCCTCCTAACTGCACGATTTTGCGACACACCTATCAACCCACAAAAAGTGTGTGAGGATGATTTCACCTCAATTCCCGGGTTACATAAGCGCAAGTGCTTCTGCAGTACGGAAAATTGTAACAGGGATCGCCAATGTTACGTATGCGACGACTGCCCTGAAGTTTCCCAATGGGATTTAAAATACTGTGAAAATAAAGAGAATCCTTCTGATGTGCAAAGTAAGTAATTCCAAATTATTATAGATAGGGGTGAGTAATCCGATCCCGTAAATTTAGTTTAAATTTATTTTTTAGTTTAAATTTCAGTTTACAAAATATAATAAAAACAAACATTTTTGTAGGAGACTGGATTTGCTTCACCACAAGAAAGCACGGTAAAATAAGGCGGAGCTGCCTCCCTGAAGCAGATACAGATATGGACCTTATGCAGGAGACATGCGGGAACCAAGTACCCTGTGCATGCGACCGCACGGGGTGTAATGGCGGAAAAATTACTTCGACAAACCCAGCGAACTTGATGATGGCACAACAGGTGTTTCTTGGTCTGAATTCCAGGGACCCCACCATTCAAGACCAAGCACTCTCAAAAAGAATTATGCCGGGATCGTTTACTCCATCTAGCTTGGGTAAACCGACATAAGTTCCCGCCTGTGCGTTCAATTGAACAGCTCGGCGGAAGCATATTTTTCCAACATTATTTATAAGTTTTAGATTACTGTACGTTTTACCAAAATTAATTATTGGCTAAGTTAATTGGATAAAAGGTATCAAAATTTGTAATAATTGGTATCTGACTATTGTGTTCTAAATTTGTAGTAATTTGTAATAATAAAATAAAATTTGTTTCCTGTGGTTACTACACGATCTATGATTTTGATTGATTGATAGGTTTTTATTAAAGTTCACAATATTTAAAATGGTACAGATATTACTGTATCCATGAAAATTTCGTCAATTGTAAAAACTTTGGCAGAAAAGTAAGGCTAATGGCAAGATTACTTGAAAACTCTTGTTCTTAACGGTTACGACAAATTACCGAGTTATAAATTAAATTATTATTTTAAAACCGTTGGGGCAAAAGCAGCGTTTGAGTCTCCAACTCCATTAATTCCAGGAAATCGTGGTTCTAAATGAATCTGTCGTATAATTTTCACTGGTGATGTTTTTTTTTATTATTGGTTATAATTGATATTCGTGAGATAAAATGTTGAGTTTTAATGCATGGCTTATGAGTAGTGGTCTCAACGGTCCCCGGGTTGGCTCGGACCGGACCGAAACCCGGCGGTTCGGTCCGGGTTTTTTCAGTTTGAGGCCTGGACAGGACTGGGCAAAACTTATTTATTTATTATAATTTATGGAGGTAAATAGCAAAGATTTCCATATTTTTGTTGGAAGAACAAAATAATTAAATATTTAGTCGCAATTCTTAACCAGTTCCACTTTCAAACTATTAGCATTTCTATTTAAATTTATGTTTGAAATATCCGTCATGTGTAATGTGGAGTGAAGTAATTAATTATTTGATTAAATTTTAACCGAGGCTGGCTATTTGTAACCACCAGTTTGTCGTCATGACATGATTAAAGTCAAATTACTTCTCACATCGACCTAAAATCAATTTTGAAAACATTTGAAATATGCAAAATCTTGCACGAGTTTGAAGATTGACAAATTCTTACGTATATCATTCCGTACTTGTCTTAAGAAGTGGAAATAATACAAAGATAAAACAATGAATTGAACTTATTATGAAATATTTTTATGTTCAAGATTTTTGGACATTTGTTTTTTGATATTTAATTGCCCCACTGGCATGTGTATTTCAATTAACGCATTTTTTTTCTGTCCGCCCGGGACCGCGGGTCCGGTACCGGTCCGGTCCGGGTTCGGCCCCGGGTCATAGTAAAAGCAACCGGACCGGGTTCGGTCCCGGGTCATAGTAAAAGCAACTGGACCGGTTTCGGTCCCGGGTCATAGTAAAAGCAACCGGGCCGGGTTCGGGTCAGTAGTATCGGTCTTTGGTTCGGTTCCGGGTAATGCAAAACCCGGACCGGACCGTTGAGACCACTAATTCTGAGGACATGGTATTAATTGTAAATGTGATGCTAAAAATTATTGAAAAAATTGGTAAAAATATAAAACTAGTGAAAATTGTGCGAAAAAAGTCGTTTAGAACTACGATTTCCTCGAATTAATGGAGTTGCTGCGACGCCCATGTGACGTGTACCAACGATTTTAAGAATAATAATTTAATTTATAAGTCGGGAATTTGTCGTAACTGTTAAGAACATGCGTTGTTAAGTAATCGTGTGCTTGAGTTACCGGACTAGTTATGAGTCATAGAAACAGAGTTGACGTTGCTCACTAAATATTTCCCCCTGTTGATGTCCTACATATTTACAAATATGACATGAATGGAGGTTGGGATACTTTTTCTCGAGACCTTCTCAAGCTATCATTGACTTTGATAAACCCAAGGAAACTCTTACAATATGTAATTTTGTATGTCATGACTTGTTTCACTTCGGCAACGTGTCACACCGGCTCCGGATAGATTTGGAAATATTCTTCCCGAAATTCTCTTGGTAAACTCGATTACTTTTAACCTTTTCCACAACTGCACTAAATGTTTCCAAAATCAAAAGCTCCTGCTTTTACTTTAACTTTGATGATCAAGTGCGAGTTGATAAGTGCACCAAAAGCTAAAAGGCACACGAGTTGACCAAGAGAATTGTCAAAACTTTTAAATAAATATAATTATAAAAAATAACCTTTACTTCCTACTTCACCTGTATATATTTTAATTACAGGGATAATTTCATAATTATCTATGTAAAGGGAGCTACATATATAACTTTATATACATATTTGAACCAAAAAACATACTTTGTTGTACCTACATAAGTATATATTCACATAGCTTTACTCTTTATCCTGAGTAGAGCTGTGCAGGTCGCGAATTTTAAATGCCCTGCCCGCCCAACGCCCTAAGAAATTAAGCCCTGCCCGTCCTATGCCCTGTGATATCGGGCTAAAAAATTCCCTGCCCGCCCTACGCCCTAAGATGTTAGGCCCGCCCGCCCTATGGTTTTGTCCTATGAGAAAGCCCTAAGCGCCCTATGCTTCTTTTCCTGATTAGATAGAGTTATTAAAGACATAAAAGTCATAGATAATATGAAAATTTCTTCTTTAATTAAAAACAGCAGCTGCTAAATATCAAATTCTGACGTTAAACCATTTAATATTTACTTGTTTTATTGACAAAAATTCCCATAACCTAATAAATAGAAATGCCCTACGCGCCCTACGCTGAATTTATGAGTGCCCGTCCTGCCCTATGCCCTAAAGAATTATGCCCTGCCCACCCTACACCCTATGATCTTAACAATAAAAATGCCCGCCCTGTCCTATGCCCTATAGGGCAGGGCGGGCAGGGCATATCTTAGGGCATGCCCTACGCTCAGCTCTAATCCTGAGGCTGAAATTGTATCTTAAATTTTATGCATATGCACGTACCTATAATTTGACAAGGCACGCTAAGTTCAATCAATAGTCCACAACTATGTACTTGCACTAGCAATTCAGATTCAGATCTTTGCGAAAATTGTAAGACATCTCCAAAGTATGCATTTTAGAAGAGTTTTTCTATAACTGGGTAAATGCAGGGAATTTAACACGGCAGAAGTAGCAGTCGAATTTCTAACAAGAATATAAATACGTATATAAACCCATGAAATATTTATAGCTACATCAGACTCATAGAGCGATATTTGGGAAATGTTTTATGTTGGTTGCTGTGGGTAATTGGATATTATTTTTCTACCTTCAGGAAGCAATGTCACTTTCACCGACGAAAATACTGTGCACGATGTCCATCCCGTCGTCCCCAGTGTCGTTGGCCTCTGGACATGTTTCAGTCTCGATCTTGATATAAGTTACAGGCAAGAAGTTGTCGACCATGTCGTGGTTTTGGCTGGTGGAGACGAAATCTAAGTATTTATGGATTTATGGAACGTTAATAATATTTATCCGTAAAAGTTTGAAAATTTAGGTGAAAATAAGTATATTAAATTGAAACAGGTTTACAACATTATGTAACTACTACAAAACTTGCAAATCACTGTAATTTTTGTAGGATTAATTAACAATTAAAGCGGCGGCTGAGTGTGAGTAATTATTTTTAAGCTAATTTTCCTCACAAGTGAATATAATTTAGGGATTTTGCAAGCTTAAAAGGCACAATGAGTTGACCCGTTAAATCGTTTAGCTACTTAATTAAGTGGTAATTAGTTATAATTTAAAAATTCTTTTCACAACAACACATACCTCCGTTAAACTCCGCGTCAACTGTGCAATCGCTTGGAGTCCACTTCGGTTTAAACCGGGTTATTTTTTTCTCTTCCTCCTCCATCGGGATTATCTTTTCGTCTGAAGTTAACAATTTGAATTATTTGGATCAGGTTAAAAAAATACTGGGTAAAACATAAATTTATAAGATACTGGATAATTACCAGGAAAAATCATATCCTTCGCATGTCCGAACATTTGTACGGACGCGACGCTCTGTTCCTCGTTGCACGTTTCCGGGAATATTTTTTGGGCAAGACGTTTATTTTTACTGGATTTATGCTTCTTTCGCATGTGATTTTTCAAATCGAAGCTGTAGAAACTTCTTCGTGGGCATAGCGGACATTTGAACTGTTTCCTGTCGGCATCTGGGGCGTGAATGGGCTGAAATTATTTTGAACAGAAACAGTGTCGTTAATTATTTATGTATGAAGTTTTCAAAAGTAAGCATTATTTATAGCGGTTTGTATTGTATACTGCTAAAAATCTGGATTTCTAGGAATATGCAAATTTTTCTCTACCTTACCTCATGTCTCGTGAGAAGTCCGAGCGTAGAAAATTCTTTCCCACACACCCCACATTTAAAGGGTCTCTCTCCCGTGTGTGATCTCGTATGATTGACCACGCTGGCGGCCGATTCAAACATTTTAGGGCAAAAATAACATGTGAAATTTTTCAACACTTGGCCTTGATGAATCCTCTTAAAGTGCAGCTTCATACTAGACTTGTGCACAAAAGATTTTTTACACTGTAGAAAACTGCATTGAAATGATGTCTCGGGTTTCAAATGATTAAATTTTTTATGTCGCAACATCGTATCGCGTCGCGTAAAGGTTTTCTCACAAAAGTCACATTTATGCTCACTCTCTTGGTGAACATTGTTCTTATGTGTTTTCAAATGATAAGCCGTTTTGAAAGTCTTGCTGCAAATGTCGCACTCCACAGGGGTGACGGATTCGGCGTGGACGGAAGCCATGTGACTGTTGAGGGTCCCTTTTTGTTTGAATCGCCCGAGGCAAATGCTGCATTGAAAATCTCTCGTAGTCGTGTGGACATGGTTGACATGCGCGGTTAAGGAGCACGACATGGTGAACGCTTTGGGGCACTGGGAGCATTTAAATTTCTTGGCGCCGTGCACCTTCTTAATGTGGACGTTGACGTCGCGCAGGTTGCGGAACGAGTTGGAACAAATGGAGCAGGGAAAGTTCCTCGTGGCGATGTGGACGGATTTGAGGTGCGATTGGAGGGCAATGTTGGAACTTAAGGTGGCCTTACAGTGGGCAAGTGTACATGGAAAGGTGGACATTTTTAAGGGACGACTATACTAAGAAGGGAAACTCCCGACCTGACCCCAGGGTACGCAGCTATGCCCAAATGTTTATAATCAAGCGGTGGAATGGTGGCAGAAAAATCGCTTTTCAAAGATTATTGAATTTTTGCGAACAATTTTATCCAAATCCTGCGAATTCGTTGTACTGAACGATGAAGAATTCTGTTGTCTGGGTAGTTCACCACTTTGGCGTGAAAAATGTATAAAAACAGAAATTATTGGTGGAGCAAATTTCTCCGTGAGTAGTAATAAATATGTACGGATAAAGGGAAATGTGTGGAAAAATTGTTGTCACATGTTCCGATAACAAGGACGATGCCAAACTGAAAATATTTACCTTATGAATATTAATTATTTTACACAAGTAATTTTTACCACACGTTAAATAATATTTAATACAGAGATGACTTCACTAATTTTTGAAATTTTAATTAAGGCTTTCCGTACTTATCAAGTGTTAAGGTGTTTAAAACAATACTGAACAATTATCAAAACTGCGCCATTTATAAGAAGGTCAGCGCTTAACTTGAGTTAAATAAGCAATTTAAACTACAACTGATATTTTTTCTGAGATTTATAAATTCCTACATAAAAATGTGGAAGCCTTTCTTTACCTATATTTGGTTGTGTGCCGGAATGTGTAAATATGAACCAAATCATATGGTTCCCACTCTAATATTGAATGTCTATCCCGTGTTGTGGATTTTTTGTGGGAAGGCACAGGAGTGAGAACCGTAGCTATTTATGTATTACTGAGGATGAGTGACAGTATGTACATGTGTAATATATATATGTATGCATAATATTGTATGTATCATCATAATATTGTATGTAGTATATGCCATATACTACATATGTACCATATACTATATGGTAGGGGTATTGTGTCACTTTGGTTAAAGTCAGTTTTGCTAAGGGTCAAATTTTATGAAAAATGTCCAAAAACTTATGCAAAAGTCACTTTGCTTAAGTGCAGAAGTCAATTTGGCTAAAAGCCAGTTTTATTTAAAAATCAAATGAAATTTACACAAAAAATATTAAAATCATTTCTGATGGGACTCGAAATTAGTAAATCCTTTCAACTAGGGCATGTAATATCGAAATTTCGAGATCTCGAAATATCGAAATCTCGGCACTTTTCTTGATATCGAAATATCGAAATATCGCTCGCCAAATATCGGGTTTTCGATATTCATTTTATTTAAAAAATGTTGTTGAAATGTATACAAAACACTAAATTTCAATTAATTTTTCACGTAAATTTATCAAAAAACTCTGGAAAATTTCTGAATTAGAATTTTGGGACATACGCGTGTGCACACATAAAAATATGCATTTAAATTTAAACATGATTCAGAAAAATCAGTTATTACTACCATCAACATGCGCCATGTTAACCCAAAGGAAACAAGTTAAAAATTGGGTTTATGATAATTCGTTACAATTAGTCAGTTCTTGAAAAGCCAAATATCGTAATTAACTGAAGTAGTTGAAATAATTGATACAAAACTATTCGCTTAAATAAATTACAGTTCACAAACATAAACAATTTGAAAAGAGCAATTTCTTCAGTTATGAAGCAATTTGATTTTCTGTATGAAGTTTGGATTATGTAGCTTAGAAGAGAATAATAGATAAGAATATGTATAGATACATATATACATACATAAGTATATAAGTATGTACATAACTTCCCGGCAATGTTTTATCTGGTACTTGACAGAGGAAGCGTTTTCCAGTTACTTGGAATTACAGTGTCGGACAGATGTCTACGTCCACATAGTCGCGTCAATTTCATTTTCAAATTGTCACTGAACTACTGAACCAATTTTCATCATTGATATATCAAATTCTCACAAATTTAACGTAATTTCATAAAACATATGAGTTATTTCTGAAAATTCTGGGAAAACTGAGAATCATAGTGCAGAGCGAGAGAGGATGAAATTTGAGCGGACAAAAGTCTACGTCCACTTCACTTTAATTGTCAACAACAAAAATCTCTCCAATTTATAAAATCAGGTAACTTAATAAATCTATCAATAACATATGCCGCATTAATTTTTAAATAATTTTCTTCCAGAAAAATATGATGGCGTCGACACGCAAGGAAATTCCTATCGCTATTCGAGATCTTGTCATTCAGGACTGGAAGGGTGGACAAAAAGGGGGGCTGTCGCAGAGACAAATAGGGACCAAGTATAAATTAGCAAGAACAACCATCCAGACAATCATTAAGAACTTTAGAGCTAATGGTTCAGTCCAAAACAAGGTCAGAAGTGGTCGAAAACCGATTTTGGCTCACCGAGAAGTACGCCACGTGCTCAACAAAGTCAACGTTACACCCTCACTTAGTGCTCCAAAGCTATCTACCGAGATCAAGGAGATGTTCGGCAAACAGGTTAGTCCTATGACCATCCAAAGAACACTGAATAAGGGAAATTTGAAATCCCACAGAGCAGTCCGGAAGCCTCTTATTGTACCGAGGAATGCAACCAAACGAGTGAAGTTTGCCAGAGACCACATTTCCAAGCCACAAACATTCTGGGACATATTTTATGGACTGACGAGTCAAAGTTCAATGTCTTTGGGTCAGATGGGCGTCGTAGAGTGTGGAGATATCCAAAAGAAGCTTTGAATCCAAAAAATCTCAACCCCACAGTTAAGCACGGCGGCGGGTCGGTAATGGTGTGGGGATGCATGGCTTCAAGTGGGGCAGGAAAAATGGAATTTGTTGACGGAATTATGGACCAATACAAGTACCAGGGAATACTTGACCGTAATATCCAGGAATCTGTTCGAAAACTTGGACTTGGACGACGATTTGCCTTCCAACAAGACAACGATCCGAAACACTCTGCCACGTCCACCATGGAATACTTCAAGAAAAAAAAAATTCCGAAGCTAGAATGGCCTCCCCAATCTCCAGACTTGAATCCCATTGAGCATCTGTGGGACCACATTGAAAGAGAAATAAGAAAAAAATCTTTTTCAGGAATTCCGGGCCTAAAATCCAGAATTCGTGAAGTTTGGGAAACCATTTCTGAAGATGTGACCAAGAATTTGGTAAACTCTATGACTCGACGCCTTGAAGCCGTCCTTAAAGCGAACGGAGGCCCAACCAAATATTAAAAATTAATTGTTATAACATTCCTTATAAATTACAGTTTTTTTTGTATGTTTTCTCTGACTGGACGTTGATTTTTGTCCATCCAATTGTTTTCATTTTGAATTAAAATACATCTCTGGCCTAAAATAAATTTTTTAGCAGAAAACTAATAATGTGCTATGAAATTACGTTAAATTTGTGAGAATTTTATATATCAATGATGAAAATTGGTTCAGTAGTTCAGTGACAATTTGAAAATGAAATTGACGCGACTATGTGGACGTAGACATCTGTCCGACACTGTACATATATTACATATTTTTTTCTACTAATCTTATTAGTTTGACTAGAATTATATGAAATACTTGGTAACTACACTTTGTAACAAATAGAAAAGGTTTGGGAATTTCCATAGCGTAATAACAATGGATAGCCTGTAGGTTAATACATATGTTAGCAACTATCAAAATATAGCTACATATTTTGATAATTTTCATGCCTTATGTTAAAATAATGAAGTTAAAACTTAGCTGGAATGCTTGGCAATTAAGTAATTAATCGTTTAAAAATGAGTTTTGTCAAATATTCTACGCTATATATTTGTTTTTATTAAGTTTAAAATTTTTCGATATTTCGATATTCAAATAGCGATATTGAGAATTGATAATATCGAAATATCGAAATATCGAAATCCAAAAATTCGTTCGATATTACATGCCCTACTTTCAACTAGCGAATAAATACGCCGATTTTAAAATTATCCCTATATTTTTCTGTTTTCTTTTTTATTTTATAGTTTGTTGACCGATCTTTCATTTTTTGTAAGAGAAGCTAAGTCCCGTTTAAATATTTTTCTAATTCAAATTTTCCTTCACATTTTCCTATTATGACGCATTAGCAACCCCCATGCCAAATTTCAGCATGATTGGACAATTTTGAAGAATCGGTGTGGGTAACCCCATAGGGTCCGTTCAGAGATAATTCTACCAATTTATATTTATATTCTTCTATTCGAAGCTGTTAGCAATCTATATACCCAATTTCAACTCGATTAGACGAGTTTTAAACATCAAGTGTGCAGACCTATGATAAAGGAGGGTAAATATTGTTACCCCATTTATAGAGAGAGAGAGAGAGAGCACGTCACCACTCTCTCTCTGCCACACTAATATATTTTTACTTCAAAGTTTTGAAATAAATCGGTGACCCCCCACTTCGCAAAGTAGCGCACGCCCCGCACATAGTCTAATAGCAACAGTGCAAGTCGAAAAAGTGACAAAAGTGACCGTCTTGACCGCTTTTTCGGGTCACCACCGAACCTTCCCATGTGTCACCATTGCACACCCGCTCAAAGGAAGTAGACTCTCCCAACCACATGCTGCAACAGGCGGAGAACCAGGAGCGGAGGAGTACAAAGGGCCAATCACACCAATCGCGCTGCCAAAAACAACCACTCAAACCGGAAGGAAATCCTCACACTACTGTCTTGTCACTTTGAGAGCCATATCTCGAGCATTCGAGATAAGCCGAGGTTATAGAGTCCAATTTTGTACACATTTGAACACAATCTAACTTAAAAATCACCTCTTTTAAGCGTGACCACATTGACACCCACCCACAATGATGACGGTGGAAGATATCATCGCACTTGCCCATCCAGATACGAATGTCATCATCCTTGAGGGCTCGATTGAAGACCGCACATACGAAGACATCGCGGACGACTTACACTTCGTTGTGGAATCCCACCACCTTCACGATGATGAAATCCTCAGACCTGACTGTCACCTCTGCGGCGATCTAATAGACTACTTGTCGTACCATCATGAGATAAGCTATTTACAATGCGTTTTTTGTTTAAATTTCTTCCATAAAAATCGGTGCAATTTACAAATGTCAATGGAATCCTATGTAAACATTCTACGATCGAAGAATTGGGCATGTCCAATTTGTGTTCCTATTTTTGTATGTAAAGAAACCAAGAACAAGTTCAAGGCTATTAATATTGAGAAACTGTTTTATAAATTAGCAAGAATTTTAAATCCACTAAGGTACAAATCCAACGAAATGATAAACATGAAACACGTTTTGGTCGAATATGACGAAGTATTTTGTAAATTATTTGACAACTATGGAATAGGATAATTAACTAACCAAAAACTATTTGATACTTGTTACAACTTGGAATGTTAATGACCACTACTATACAATATTGATTGAAATGGATATGCACACCCGATGTACCAACATATTATTTTATTTTATTTAACCATATATTTTATTTTAATTTAGTATTAGCATTTTGTAAAATTATATTCGAATTTTATCTTCAGTGTGTCCAGAGCTGAAAACCAGTACTTGTACTGACGCTCATACGACACCGTTAATAAAAACCTATCAATCAATCAATCAATCAACCAACCAAATAATAAGAATATCCTGCGTTTGTGACGACGGTTTAGAGTGCGTCAGGAAACCTGGACTTCTGATCGCTTATACTTGCAGGTCTACAGCTTAGGGCTTGCAATACCGGTGTCATTTCTCAAAACCGGTATTCGGTATTTTCGGTATTGGGACCTTCGGTAATACCGGTATTACCGATACCATATGCTAAATACGTATTAGGGATTGAAAACCAATACAAAGAAGAGTAAAATAAAATCGTTAGCATTTAACACTAGTAGAATTTTCAGTATTTTAAAAATTGATGTCGTAGAAATATTTTCACGTGAAAAAACGATGATTTATCAAATTTTAGGACCCGTCTCTCCTTTTTGTCGCATTTTCTTGGCGAATTTAAAATTTTGTGTGTTCTCATATAATTGAATAGATATAACTGTTCCATCAAATTCGTACAACTAAACCGATTTGAATTATAAATTTTAACTCAATCATCATGAAAGTGACAACCTTCCCAAGGGTCTTCATCGTCACTACTTTCTTCATCTGATACGTCCAAGTTGGTCATATATTCCCAATAAATGACTGAATCTCTCCCATACATCGCTTCCAATCGTACGTTTGCATTAGAAAATGGCTCCTTTTCGTAAAATTCCCTCTCAAAGTTTGCAACACTGGAGGAATCATTTGCATAACGTTTTGCGTTTGGGTGATACATTTCGAACACGTTGTTAGGGTGAACCTGATATCAAAAGTTTGTTAGGCGATGTCCATAAATTATGTGATGGCTGAAGGTGGTCAAAAGGTGTGGTACATGTTAGAATGAGGTGTAACACGTGGCAAGATGGGAGGTGGGTTGGAATAATCAGGATTATTGCATGACATAAGTTACGAACGTGCCATTAAGTTGCTTATGCATACTCATTAAATTGTGGAATCACTGCAATGATCTAGGTCCGACGTACATTATTAATTCATACAAATACTGGCAATACATGTTTCATGGAAATTCAAACTAATCTACGTAACTGAACACTAGGTAACTTATTAGAGTTTAGCGTAGTTTATATTAGGGTTGCCGATGAAACGAGATGAGACGAGATATATCACATCTCATCACGTCGCATTGTCTGGTAATATGAGACGAAAGTTAAATGAGATACCAAAAATTGAAACTGGTCTGGTCACATTAAACATGAGATGAGGTGAGATGAGACAAGATGAGGCACGTATATCTCATCACTCACCAACTCATCTCTTCTCATAATTTACACGTCTCATCTCATTTACTCGTCACCTCATCTCATCATATATTCGTCTCATCTCCTTTTGCGGCCATTTCATCTCTTCTCATAATGAAATGAGATAATCTCATCTGACCGGCAACCCTAGTCAATATTACATCTTGGTCAACAAATTGGTAGAACATTATACTGATTCCACATTATATCTACTAATTAAGACCAATAGTGATCAACCCCTCTGTATCTATTAAAACAGTTTATGTATGTATACTTTTCTGATTTTTGCACATGCCCTGTTACGTAAATAAGCGTACCACTGAATATTCAGGTAGTAATATTTACCGAATAATGAAGTAAGATAAACAATTTACCATGGTACATCCATTATAAAATGCGGTCTTAGCCTGGCCCCCAAATAGCAAGTAAACAATGTTATTATTGCGGCGTGACACGCCCCTAAGGATAGCGTGGATGAGGGCCTGATATTTCTTGGTATCTTCAGAATTGTCAATAATATTGGCATTCATTAAGAGTACACCTGAAATTTAAGCAATGCAAGTTCATTTAAAATTTGTGCAATTTCCACTCTAAAAACAAAATTTGCCTAACGTTGAGTAAATTTTAACCATGTTGTATATTAATTACGCAACAGTAATAAAATTAGGTCCAATTGTTGTTTTCACAAGGTAAATAAAATTGAGTAAAATTTTACATGATACAACAGTTAGGTAAAATTAGTGCGATTGTGTCAATCACACCGTTGTATAAATTTTATCCCAAGTTGGGCAAATTTTACACAGTTGTCATGCCATTGCAGATTTTGCTCAACCTTGTGTAAATTTTTAAAAAATACACAAAATTTCAGGTCGAACATCGTTCGAAGGTTATTGTTATGAATACGGAAGAGAATAACGAATTAGGCGATATTGCCAGAATAATCGTTACGTGTTTTCAACGTCTTTAATTCTTAAGCCCTCTGTGTGTATGTAACAGTAGTACATACACACAGGGTGGTACAGTACCACCTTTAAAAATTATGTAGCAATACACGTGTCAGACTTATGGATTTTTTCTACAAGCATGTTTTAGTATCCATAAATTGTAGACTAAAACACAATAGGGAGGTTGAGATTGGTGTATTCTAGTATAATTCGACAAATATCTGTATTCTTAGGATGACTCATCCAGGCTACAATACAGTACAGCAAGCAAAATCAAGAGCCTGCCCCAACTCGATTTATACTAAACATCTGAATCGCCCACCCAAATTGTCTCCCTTCCACCATTGGTGCCAGTACCTTGCAATGTCTTAATGCATTGCGATGTTTTTCACTTTGCCCCATCGCACCATTTGTGTAAATATAAGTATTTGTACAAAAATCTCAACCTCTACTACACAATACAAGATATTTATATTCACACTTTTGAAAAGTACAAGGATAAATATATGTATAGAAAATCTCAATCTCCCTAATACATATCTGGCCGGTGTATTAATACCAAATCAATCAAACCATGAACACGATTACCTCGCTCAATCCAACCGTCTAATTGACCCGTTGGTTCCAAAGTAACGCCTTTGTATTCGCGTTCAATACACTCGCAGATCGTGAGCAAACTACGTGAAGGCTTGAACGCAGTTCCAAACGCGTAACCCAACGAGATACACGATGGTGAAGGTGAGTCTCCCAGAATAACGACACGAACTTTTTCCAGACTTGTTTGACTGAACGCAAAATAATTATAGGACTGAATCCCATTGGAATATTCTGACCCCAACTGTAGAAAGTATGTAAAAATGAAAACACTATTATCCCACAATTCCAACCTGGCCCTGTGTTTAACCAAATTATAGGTGTTTTACAAGAAAATCGTGCATGTGATAATTTCAAAGTTCAATTATAAGCAATTAGGGGGAATGTGGGACTGAACTGCATTAACAAGATTTTGTTTTTACATGCAGAAGTGTCTTAAATCCCCCCTATGGGGTAAAATTCAAAAATATGAGATCATCACAATGCACGATTTTCTTGTAAAATACCTATAATTTGGTTGAAGACAGCGCCAGGTTGGGTCAGAGGTGTTACAAGTTACCTCTTGTAACCAGTCCAGATTACTCAGTTGGTCGCGGACAAAAATTTGAATTTTTAAGATCAATGTTATTGGTCGAGATAATTTTGTGTCCACCCCATGGGCTCTCGTAGTATTTAGTTACGACGAGACCCGACGTGTATGTAAATATTTCAAAAATTTGACAAAAATCAGGTAATTCCATGCTTAGTACAATTTACTATCCAAGTAATCAATTCTTGTTGCTGCACACTGGGCAAAATCCTTAATAATTATTGTTTAAAAATGGCGACTTGTGACTTTGGGTGGAATGAGAAGAATTAATCTTGACATGTCAATAATGTCAGACATTTTCAAATTTTTACATCCTGGCAAAAATTGACATTTTGACAAGTTAGCATGACATTGCCATTTTTTTCGGTGTCATGACATTCGTTTAACCCTACTCGTGGGTCGAGGTTTGCACAAGTTCCAAAATGTCTCAAACTTTCACTAGCATTGCACATAGCTAAATTTCAAGAAGGATATGCATGGGCATAAAAGAATTATGACAAACAAAAAAGTATGCACACTCAAAATAATTTTGTATAAGCGATCCCACCGGCGGTGACCATATGTGACTATACCACCATGGCAATAAGTTTGTTACCGCCGGAAGGAAAGATATTACCAAGATAGTAATATTTGCCACTCGTCAACTGGTAATTATTACCACCCTGGTAATAAATCTACGACTGCTCAGTAACAAATTTATTTTTATCTCCCACTTTACCATGGCGGTAAAGTCACATATAGTCACCGACGGTGATAGTTCTATTACCGGTTTATTTTGAGTGCAGAATTGAAAAATCCTAACTTCAGAAATCGTAAAATTTTCTGAAACACCAAAATCAATTTTTCAGAAATAAACATCACTCACGTCCATGTACATATGATGAAGAAGTTGCAGATCAATCTAAACCATTTGTGGCATACTAAAGCTTATAAAATGGAGATTGAAACACACATAAAAAAATCTGCAACAAGCCTTGGTATGAAATCAATCATAAACGTAATACGCCACAAGCCGGACTACAAAAATTTTCCAAAATATTTTTTCACTTTTGATGCGTTTTAAAACCATTTTTTTCTAAGCAATTGCTCCGCACTGCACTATCACCTACCTATTTACATGTACATAAGTAAGTTAATCAGGAATTAATAGTAATTAGAAAACTAAAACTTCCTAATGAATGGTATCATCTTCTCTTCATTTGATAAATGAGAGCTAAATGCATAATTTTTCCAAGTCAACTAATTCTCAACAATAAATTAAATCTGTACATATTTATCAAATTTAATAATAAATTAGATTATTGCGTATATTCGTGTTTCAATAAAATTTTATATGAACAAAAAAGATATCCAGGGCATGGTTATACGTTTCAATGCTGTGAGAACTTTAATTGGTTTTAATTTTTTATGGGAAGACTGGCCAATAAGTTTTGATTGGGTCACCCCATTTGGACGTTGGCATGTATTGCGTTTTTCTCTCGAACTCAATAAATATCATAGGTATAAGTCAGGGTTTCGTTTTGGACATCCAAAATTGTTTTAGGACGGAAACTGTCCAAGTGTTCAAAACTGTCCAAAATAAGTTTGAACGTCCGAAATGTTAAAATGGTTTAACGTAGGGAAATGGGGCAACTAGGTACAACTTCTTTATTATTGGTTTTTTGGTAAAACTATACACAAATATGGATTCTATGTTAAATTTCAAGAAATTTGGTGTGTAATATGACAAAATTTGGAAAACAAATTTAGTATGTGTTCTTATGCAAAATTCTGAAATTGTCTAAAGTATGGTATTGCATACCAAAATGTTTAAAATTATAAGGAGATTATATGTCCGTCGACAGATTATCGAAAAATTCAACAATAAAAAACTTGTTTCGTATTGCCCCATTTTGGACACTTTTGGACATTTTGGACATCAAAATTCAAGTGTCCAAAAGTCCAACTCGTTTAAAAAACTGACCACTTTTGCAGCAACAAGACAATTGTGTTACATAACCGTGTTCAAGTGCTTGCAAAAGTTTCCTAAATATTTTGCTTAAAATGTGAAATCAATACACTTTACATAACGAATTACGTCAAGGTATCGAGGAATCCACCACCACCAAGTTATAACTCTGAGCGTGAAAACGACTTACATAATACAACGTTGTACATAATACAACGCTTACTACAACATTTTTCACCTTCCATAGGAACGCCCATGTCAACCACATAGATATTTGTTGACGAGTTAAATTAAAATCCATAAAAAACATCCGGGGTATGAACATCAAGATCTGAGACGTTCAACTGGTTCAAATTTTATGAGTAGAGGGAGACTGGCCGATAAATTTTTAAAGCTTAACCCTATTTGGACGTAGGAATTTACCCCGCTTTTCTGTCCCACTTGGCAAACATCATGTGCACTAGTCTGACTCGTCTTAAACGAAGCTAAACACTTTATAGCTACAAAACAAAAGTTCTCTGCAAATGATTTTGTTTGTTTTTGGGAGAAGCTTCTTTAATATTTTTAAAAATGTTGCATGATCACCTCAGCGTCATCAGGTGGTAGTTAAACTGCATGGCATACCTACACTGCTTTCCCATCACATGGGAAAAATCAGCAAGATTTGTTAAAATTCTGCAAAATCGCGGAATTCTTGTCACCGTAAAAACCTTGGAAATCTTACAACTCGGCTATTTCGTCCTAATGTCGGTTATACTAATTAACCAATTACAGGTTGGCTGTATGCTCACACTTCTTCCCACCTTTCGCATGTTGCTAGTGACCGGAATGTGCTACGGGATGGGTATAGAAATGTGTATAAATGGGTATAAAATATGGAAGCCGTAGGTATTTAAAAACAATTATCGTATCATAGCCATTTGCGTGACAAAGCTAAGTCAATAATAGAACCGTAATGCAAAGTTTTCACTAGTGGCCAGTTGCATACATTGGAAAGGCCCAGGATTTCAAAGTCGGCCACGGGTTTGGACTCGTTAACCCAAGACTCAGTTAAGGTAGCCAGCTGGCGAATACCTTTCTGTTACTGTACTATATTTGTATGGTATGGAAAACTCAATATCGTCATGTGTGATAAATAAGAAGGTGGAGCTTTTAAATATTTTATTGGAGTAGGAATTAAACAAGAAATGAAAAGCTGGAGAATATGAACACATATTTAGTAATTTCTTTTCCATTTACAGTAAATCAATACGTTGCACAAGTTTACAGTCGTATGCTGAAATAAGCTGAAATTTTTAGTAGGTTATGCAACTTAGACTAATCAACGTGCATATTTTTTTCATGATGAAGCGCTGTTGGTGGGCTTTGTTGAGTTTATACATAACCCAGTGAAATTTCCTTTGTAATATGTAAAGTACGTAGTGGGTCATAAAATCAGAAGAAAATAAGTAAATAAGTAAAGAATACGGTTCGATAGTATTATGTATCCTTCTCGAGTTAAAATTAGTTTGGCTGACACTAAGACGCATTAAGTCCTAATGTAGTCTGGTAAAAACGAAACAAAATAGAAGAAAGGTTTGCACTACGTTCAGACCTTTTCTGCGGGTTCCGTTAGCATCAGAGTTGTAACCACAGTTGCAAGAAATGCTTCGCGAATATCTCCCCATCATAAGATGGAGCCTGTGCGGAATGTCCTACTTACGTTGTTTCCCCATAAAATGGGACAAATCTTCCCGACGTTCCGTTTTATGAGGAGTAAAAGGAAGTTGTTAGTTGTCAGAGTGGTCCAAGTCATGCAACTACTTTACGCTGGAGTGGTTTCCTTTGTCCTACGGAAGCAATGCGCGATAGGATTCCGTTCCGTCATCCGTCCTACAATTGTAATGTAGCTTACCACGTTGAAAGTCGTTCTGGAAGGTTACGGAATAGGGCTAGCGAAAGAGGTTGGAGATTTAATAAACGCAACAATTGTGTTTGAAGAATGGTTACGAGAAAGGCTAAACCGGTTTGACATTGTAGCAAAGAACAGAAAATCGGCCAGGTATGTAGTAAAACAATCTGAGTAGGTTATGCATCAGTGTGTTCTTCAGGCTCTGGAGAGCGAAGCAAGAAGAAAACGTTTAAGCTTCCGAAGATTGAGATTCCGAAGTTCGACGGGGACCTCAAGAATTGGTTTAGGTGGTGGAGTCAGTTCGAGTAGATCCACAACGACGAAGATCTTCACAACAGTGACATGTGCCAATACCTCATTCAGGCCACTGAAGCAAAGTCAGAGCCCCGATCAATTATTAGTGCCTTCCCAGCTACAGGAGATAATTATGGAGCTGCCATAGAATCCCTGAAGAGAAGATACGGCCGGGAGGGGTTGCGACTCCAAGTGTATTTGAGGGAGTTGCTCAACCTAGTGATCGCCAACGTTTCATCAAAGGAGAAGATCCCGTTGGACATTTTATTTCTCAAGTTACAGTCCCATCTCAGAGCGCTGGAGACTTTAGCAGGGCGGAGCCGTCCATGTATTTTTATCCGTTGGTGGAGTCGAGTTTGCCACCGGAAGGGTTAAGGGCGTGGTTGAAACATCCAGCCCAAGTGCAACAAGATGGTCTACCCCAGAAGAGCAAGTTACCTAGTCTCATGTCATTCCTGGAGAAAGAAGTCGAAGGGGAGCAACAGATATACTTGCCTCAACATGGGTTTGGAGGTACATAACAAGAGTGCTCCAGTACGTTCAGACCAGAACAGTAATAAATATGAGGCAACAGAGAAGCCAATTACTGCAGCAGCATTATATTCCGGAGGGGTGAAATAAAGCTCATATTGACATCCGAGTCAAACCTGCTACATCTGAAGAAGATGACAAACGAGGAGAAGTCAGAGAAGATGAAAGAAACCAACGTCTGATTCAAATGCCTCAAGAAAGGTCATCGCTCAAGAGAGTGCAAAGCCAGAGTGAAGTGTGCCTCGTGTGGGGGTTGCCATTACAAACTCTTTTGCTTTGGAAAGAAGATGGAGGAGGAGTCAGCTCACCAGATTTCCGAAGGGGTCCAAGCGCTGATTACAATTCAACACGCTGTGGCATTGGGAGCTACCGTCATGAACAATAAGCGTGTCCTCCAAGGCACGATGAAAGTGAAAGTGTTTGGTGCCAAGGGTGAATTCCGAGAAGTGCGATTGTTGATCGATTCCGGAAGCAATGTGAGTTACATCCGAGAGGACTTGGTACAAGAACAGAAGTTGCAACATTCAGGAAAACGTGTCTTCCGCACGGAAGTGTTTGGCGGCGGCAGCGAAATCTGTACCAGGCGGCAATACCAAGTCAAGATTGAGGGATTGCCAAGAGGAGTCAGGAGTGAAATAGTGCAATTGCCCCTATATAGTGCTCCTCTAATATGTGAAGGCTTAGGCCCAATCCCTGTCAGTCCTTGGATCAAGAAGTTGCTGAAACTCAATGTGGTACTCACCGACATCCATGCAGAGTCCAACAAGATCGACGTGCTCATCGGAGCCAATCTTTTATACCCATGTCCCATTGGCCGGAAAGGCATGGCGGTTGCTAAATACGACCATAAAAGTTTAGCAACATCTACAATCAGCTTTTAAACACATGGGTATTCTGGAGCCGTCGGCCAGTGAGGGAAAGAGAAATCTGAGGTAAGCTTAAATGTATAGGTTAGGTTGCACTTGGTAATTCATAAGGGATGTCACAAACGGCTGGGGGAATTTGTAATTTTATTGTACCACTCTATTAAAAAAATTCTATAGAGTTAACTTACAATAATACCATTCTGTATGTTTTTTTTTATTTCGTGGATTTTATTGATTCGTTCATGTCTATTTTTCACAATTTTTTTCACCAATGAAGATGATAAAAAGAACACTACTTTACTATTTTGGAACATTGTATATCAAAGCCAGGATGGAATTCTTTAAATCTTTCAAAGTTAAGAAATTTGAATGGGGTGAACGTGATTCCAAAGTTAAAATTGTCTTACCAAAATGGAGACAAGATGAGTCTGATCCACCCAAAACAAGTGTCAACAAATATGTTGCAAAAACATGTGATCAATTATTATTGAAAAACGAAGAAATCACCGGACAACAAGCCAAGATAGAATTTCAAAACTGGCTGCAGTCAAATGAACAAAATCATGTAACCGAACACAAATCTTTGCGTCCTATTAAACAAGCTCGGAGATTTTCAAAAAATCAGCCACATTTGCGCGTCCTTATTATTATCAATGTTCTGATTCTTGAGCAGCAGATATAGTTTTGGTCGATTTATTAATTTCTCCTTGTAATTTCCTATAAATTTATTTCTGCTATTTGTTTGTTTAGCATCATATCCACATTTAGCCAAACTTCTCACATAGTTACTGGTAAGCAAGTTTATTTAAATTAAATATGTAATAATTATTGGCAACACAATTTTTGTATCAAGTCTAGAGTCAGATCCCGTTCAAAATGCAGCAGCGTTTCTTTATTTCGTTGTTTGTGCAAAATATTCTTATCATCCTATCGTCCGTGTCCTGCTTATCACCAATACCGACCATCCAGCTGGCTCAAGGGGCTTGCAAAGAACCACCGAAATCAGTCGGGGTGGTCGATCTTATAATGTCTTCTATGGCGTCCCATTTGGCAAACCTGAAAAACTATTTTAGTGTTGGCTTATCTTTTACATTGAAATGCTTGACAATCGCTAAATTTAGATATCAAAACCAGCTGATGGTTGGCCCGGGGTTAGGCATGCCACGGCAAACGGGCCGTGTTACGGCGCCGGTCGCTGTAGATAACTTATCTTATGGGGTGTAGGCCCAACGGCGCCGTAAACTGGTGACTTTGTGATAATGCGATAATGCCTCCCTTTTCACTTTGCAAGACCCTTTGTAGAAATAAGGCCAATAAAATCCCAGAATTAGCGCACTTCAACTAACAAATAGTTTTATTACGACACACTAATTACTACTGTACAACGATGAATTGGAGCTTAATTATTGCAATAATCAATTAACTTTTTTAATGACAAACTGTTTCTTCTTCTATGCCTTGCTACTTACTTGCTTCCTTACTTTCTTACTACTGACTGGCTGCCAGCACGCTCTATTCTCTTTTCTGTGTGGAGAGATGGCGGGAGCAGTCCCAGTAAGTCTCCGTCACCACTTCTCTCCCTATGCTATTTTAATTACATAAATTACTCATTATCTAAAAAACTGTAAGGGAAAACAAAGATATTACATTTTTATAATAACTACGGTATTATTATCTATTACATATAAAAAAATCAGGTTACGTTTCGGCTTATAATTTTTCCATATTTCTGCAAATTTAACTGGGAACTATCAATAATTACTTAATAACTTAAAAACTATTCGGGAAAACACTAATTTTCTTTTTCCTAAAATTAGTTCATACCCCATGCCTTACTATAAGTCACAAATATACATACATTTCGGATCTCGTTATCAAATTATTCTCTTATCAACATATTTGCGCAAGGTTGCCTAGCAACCTTCACCCGTGGTTGCCTAGCAACCTCCACCACCACTTCTACTTAAAATACTGATTTAAATACATGATGCTCATTTTGTAACAGGGCGGAATGCGTCAGCACTGGATTTGTAGAAAACGGTCCAGTTGTCGGACAGCAGGATTGTGTTAACCTGGATGTGTACACTCCAATCTTGTTTAAGTGTTTAATTTTAAATATTTCAACTACAATTTTTTGAGTGGAACTTCTTTGCGTGCAGTTGCCGCTAAATAATTCATCGGTTGGGGGAAAACTTCTTCCCGTTCTGGTCTGGATTTACGAGGGTGGATT